CCCTGGCGTCGCTGAGAAGTCTGACTGTGCTGAGCTGGGCGCTGGAGTGGGGCTCGTGCAGGAGGCAGGTCACGTGAGCGGCCTGCAGAGGAGCTAGCGCGACGAGGCAGAAAGAGATTCATGGCCTGGGAGGCTTTCTGCACTTCGGAAAATCGGTCGACGATACCCGTGACAGCAGATCCGAAGAGGCCGGATGGAGAGAGCGGGGCGTTGAGAAAGGCGGCGCGCTTAGAATCTCCCATGTCGGCGAGTGTGAGCCACAAATGTCTCTCAGACACACAAATGGCGGCCATGCATTTCCCCAGGGCTTGAGCAGCAGATTTTGTAGCGCGAAGGGCAATGTCCGTGGCGCTCCTCAAATCCGCGACTGGAGGGGGATTTTTCCGCTCTCGTCCCATTCACGAAGTATGTCACCCTGTAGTATCTGAAGGACGGACATGGAGTGAAGTGCAGAGGCTGCTTGGCCGGCGGCTGAGTTAGCGCGGGCGTGAAATCTTGAAGTCGCTCTGCAGGCTTTAGAGGGAAGCACAGGTGATGAGCGCCATCTCGCGGAGGGCGGGCATAGATGTGCGGCGACCAGGTCCTCTACAGGGGGAATGGAGAGATAGCCCTTCTCTGCGGCTCCGTCCACAACGCGAAGCGGGGTGGAAGAGTCAGAGCGAGTTCTAGCAGAGAGCGGGGCATTCCAGGACTTCGTGAGTTCCGTGTGCAGTTCAGGCAGGAAGGGCACGGCCCGTTTAGTGGCGGGAGTCGAGCGCTGGCGGAAGTAGCTGCCGTCCATACGGTTGATTGTCTGCTGGGGGGGAGGGGACCAATCGAGCCCGAGGCGTTCGATGGCCTGTGAGAGGAGGCGCACTAATTCCTCCTCGATTCCAGCACGGGTCCCGGTGGATTCTCGGGCCGAGGAGGGGTGAGAACCAGACCATTCCTCACTGTCTGAGGCGAGAAGTGAACATGTCTCCTTGATGTCCGTGGCGTCATCGGAGGCGACAGAGCGGCCACTCGGCAGCATCTGTATGTCCGGAAGCGGCGGAGAAGGAGAGCGGGAGGCGACAGGCTCCGGCGGGATGAACGCTCCTGGCTGGGGTTCCGGTGGCCTCTGAGAGCGGCGTTTCTTCTTCCGCGGTGAAGTCAGAGGCGGCGCGGAAGCAACTTTAGTGGCCTGAAGTCGACAACGGCACGTCTTCGCAGAGATCGCAGCCGCCATCGGCGAGGGCGAGCTCGGCGTGCTCCAATCTGAGGCAGAGAGCGCAGATGACGTGGCGGTCTCCATCCTCGAGGGGAGCGCGGCAAGAACCGCAGGAAGGTTTACGAGACATCTTGAAAAAGACGCTCGGCTCTTTTAGATACAAAATGTACAGGAAGCTTTTTGTAAAAAGGATACAAATCCGTCGGATGGCGCTAGCTCGCAGGACGGCTGAAGGTGGCGAAGACGGCCGGCTTCCTCAGTCTCCCAGATGCTCGCTAGAGTTGCCTTTTCGACGACGACGGCTTCTCTCAGGATCAGCAGATGCGTGTAGCCTCGCTGAAGAGATGAAAATCAGAGTTTACAGTCTAGGACGCCAATATTTATACTCTCTGACTAGAGGTCTGCACGGGCTTTAAACTGAAGCCCGAACCCGGCCCGTACCCGCGATCATTTAACCCGACCCGACCCGACAATTACATTTACATATTAAGCCCGAACCCGACCCGAACCCGAGGTCCATTCTGTTTCTCACAGCAAATACCATTTTTGCAATATGCTATGTTTTATTTAATGATTGCTTGACACATTAAACAAATACATGTAGGCGCAGCGGCCCTATCAGCAGGCAGCACAGCAGTAAGAGAAAAAAACTTACCAATTACGTAACTTTGCTGTGGTCGAACAGGTGTAACAGTCACAAATTTCTCTGGAACTCAAACTTTAAACTTTAAAAAGTTCACGCACTGTTGCAAAACTATTTACACAAACATCCTTCTCAGTATGAGTTATGAAGGAAGAGAACGGCATCGACAGTTGATGGTTTCAGCGCCGTCCTCCTCTGATTGAAAGTTAGTCCAGCTGCACTGAAGTTCCTCTCGCTGCTGCTGCTACTTGCAGGGATGCTGAGGATACTACGGGCCAGTTTTGACAGTAAGGGGAAAACACCGCTGTTGTTTTTCCACCAACCCAAGAGATCCCGCTCTTCTTCCATGTCGTGGTTGCGGCTGGAGTATTGCGTAACTTCATCTGCGGTTTCACCGAGGGGCACGTTCACCCACTCCTCAAACTCTGCCACTATCTTGCTTCTTTTAGTGACCGGTTCAGCCACGCGTTCAGCTGGCTCGTTGCCTGTGGTAAAGCTGGCTATCCGAAGCCTGGCTTCTTGCTGGATATCCTCTCTGTCAGGGAGAGACAGCATGCGGAGCTGACAGAACTTTGGCCAAAGGAATATGGCAAGCTTATGTAGTGTCTGGATTTTGATTTTACGGTTCAGCCATTCAAGATGCCGCTCACGAATGATGGCCTGATGAGGACTGTCTGATGCCACAGGTCTGCAGTGGCGCTTAAGCCTCTCGTGCCACAAAACAACCAGGTTAAGTGTGGGGTACTGGTCACCCTCTAGTTCCCTCTGAGCCTCGTAAAATGGGCGAAGAAATTCCAGCAGGAACTCCAAGACATCTGGAGATATTTCGTCGATTTTTCGGCTTTCCCCTCGGCTTTCAAGTTTTTCTCGAAGCTCAGCGTACACCTGCTTAATTGAATCCAAGGTAAGGAACACCGTGCTAAACCTGGTTTCTGACATTTGCCTGACAGTTGTTGATAACTGACTTATTATACCCGTTTGCTTGACATATCGCACAAGCGCCTTTGCTGCCAGTAAAGTCTGTGTGACCTCTGGTGCGCGGTCTCGTAGTTCGGCAGAATCAAGCGCGTGTTTGAGAACTGTGTTATAAACATGGTCCTGACAATCCAGTCGATGATACGGCGCGAGTGCAGCAATCATGTTTGATCCCTGGTCAGTGACCCAGACGACTTTGTTCATAACACAAGCATCAAATCCTAGTAGAGATACGAGCAGTCTCTGTAATTCTCTCCGTATGTTGTCACCAGTTTTCGCTTCTTCAGGAGGGAACATCGCTGTTGTAAGGACTCTGCTTCGAAGCAAAAAATCAGGTGTGATGTAGTGGCAAGTGATAGCTAAGAAACTGATCTTGCGATAGTCGTCAGTCCACATGTCAGTGGTCATCCCAACACTAATATCAGACATGATCTCCGATATTTCTTTGACCAGCGCCTGTCTTTTGGAGGCCGTGGTTTCCTTGCATCTCCGAGAGATGGTTGTGGGATCAGGTAACACACTGTCCACTGAGACACGGCCATATGTAGCCCCCACATTTATTAGGTCTTGCACTAGGTTAATAAAACCTCGTCCAGCAACCGTATGAAACGATCTAATATCCCGACAGCAAAACTCCACACATTTTTCTGTTACATTAGATTTTACAGAAGCTGGTACTGACTTGGCTGTTGGAGATAGATAGTCCGAAAGAGATGACTGTCTGTTGTTACTAGCGGCTAGGCCTGCTGTTGGACGAGTGCATCCACGGTCAGTGTGTCGCTGTAAAGAAGATGTACCTGTCTTTTTGCTGTCATACGCCAAGACAGCTTTGCAAGCTCTACACTGCACGTAACCACTGGGCTCTTTACTGGTTGAAACGACAAGATCATAATGCTTCCAGATTGCAGCTTTTCCTGCATCATTTGGAACTGTCATAAGTTTTCCCTCAGTAATTTTTTGCTTTATCAGACTCATGGTTTGCTTGTTGTCGTCTGCTGTCTGTCTGTATTGTGACTGAAATAGCGCGCGAGAGCGGTAGCACATGCGCAAAACAGCTTGTGATATAAATAAAACAAATAATTAAAAAAATGTATTTATATAAAATTATTTATATATATATATATATATATTTATATATTTATATATCATTATCATTATATTTGAGAGAGAGCCTGTGTGTCTGACTGTGTGTATGCACATATTGCACATCTGCGGCTGCGCACGTATGTACTTTCTCTCTCTCGCGTGCCGGTCACCACAACACAGCAAGCAGGCAAAGCACACGGCACGCAAACTATATATAGCATATTTAGTTTTTCTTAGTTAAACCCGAACCCGACCCGAACCCGAGGCTGTTCATTAAACATTAACCCGAACCCGACCCGAAACCCGCACATTTTTCGGGACCCGTCGGGCTCGGGTCGGGTAGCAGACCTCTATCTCTGACCACGCCCGTTTCGGCGGGCTCTGACGCAATGAGAGCATGTCAGACTCTCGTTGGCCGAGAGTTCATTCGCGTCTCCTCATAGGCTTAAGCAGTTCTCTGTGAGCGAACCAATGAGCTGCTAGCTAGCCCGCTCATGGTCTGCTGCAGCTGAACTGCGTTGACAATGGATACAAAATTATAGGATAATTTTTTGGCTTCAATTTCTCAGAAAAGATGAATCTTTCCCGTAGCGTAAGCTAGCTTACGCAATACGAGAGAACCTCTCGTAAGAGAACACTAATTAACCCATCAGTAACTAATGACTAACTAGTAACTAATGAACACAAAGGAAACTGATCTAGAAAACGTGAAAACTACAAGTCAAGCAAACACAAACACATATAACGAGACATAATCCTGACATGGTTGAGCATAAGCTTCTTCTTTCAAAAACATAAAAAAATCGTAATGATTCTAAACTTTTGACTGGAAGTGTATATTATTATATAATATTTATTTCTCAAGGATTTGTAGTGTAGTTGCATGATAGTGTGGCCTTGTGTATTATGTTCCATTGGTGACACCTGTAGGCATCAGATGGAAAAAAGACCTCTACATTTCGATATTATGAATATACACAAAATTATTGCACTTACAGAAGATATCAAACCTATTCTCGATAACGTTTTAGCAGAGTAACAAACATGTTTTACAATTTGATGACATTTTTTTGTTTATTGAATTCTTCTGTCTGTATCCTCCTGTAGGTCTACCAACACTAATACTGATCATCTGGGTTCTAGCAAGGAATTTTTTTGATAACAGAGGGTAAGTCCAGATTGATCTAAGCTCGTATAGATAAACTTTACGTTTCTCATCTGATTTGATTTGATTTGCTTCTACATTTGATTTGTAATATTTTTGCGCTGCATACATTTCTGCGCTTATTGCGAAAGTGCAGATTCTATGCAGGTGTACTCATATAATCATTGCAGGTGCTGGGATGACACAGATGTTGCTTACTTTTGGTGGATTATCAAAGGACCAATCACAATATCTCTCCTGGTATGATTCACAGAAAAACACAGCTGATTTGATTTTATATATATAAAGGCCACATCTGGAATACAGTGGAAGCTGTTGGTTGCAATAGTATTTTTCAAAATATATATTATTAATGTATTTTTCATGTGCCATTATTGGGCACTACAATACAATTACGTATATATTTGAACACACAGTCTGTTGATGTGTACAGTATATGAGCTTTTTCCTTTATCTTTTATACAGAGATGCATTCTTTTTTTTTTTTTTTATCTAGATCAATTTCTTCATCTTCATAAATGTGATCCGGATTCTTGTGCAGAAGCTGAAGTCTCGAGGAATGGGTGGCAATGATACCAACCACTTCATGTAGGCCTGAAATGCACACTCAAAGCAAAGATGTGTCAATGTTTGATTCACAGACAATTTAACATACTTGTGTATCAGCTGCACACATGCTACTGAAGTAGTGCGTTATTGTCTTGTTGAAATTCACAAGATGCAAGTATCACAGTAGCCTGTTTTCAGTCTGCTTTTATTTACAGCCATCACAGTTGCTCATTACTCTCTCATGATAAATTCCCCTCCAAAACGTAATTTGTTGTTTGTTATTAATCTGAAATAATGCTGATCTTTATGTATACTTGTAGGAGACTGGCCAAGTCTACTCTTTTCCTGATTCCTCTGTTTGGCATGCACTACATGGTATTTGCCTTCCTGCCAGAGAACACTGGAGAAAATGCTCGCCACTTTCTTGAGCTTGGCCTGGGCCCGTTTCAGGTGTGTACAATCAACCATATGTGAAATTCACAGAATACTAATGCTAGGGTGACCAGATTTATCATGGAGAAATACAGGACGGCATGGTCAGCAAAAAAGAACTGATTTCGGGATTGCGCGCTGTCTGAGAGAGAGTGCTTCTGGTCCGTGTCATTCAGCGTGATACCACAATGAGTTATTTTTTCACAACTTACTGCACATAATAACTTGATAAAGTCTTTTTGAAGATCCTCATTAAATGTACACACACACACACTTCTTTGACATCTTCGCATCTGACTTGATCTTCTAACTTCAGGTTAATCGATAACGAATTGTGATTGGATGGATGGTAATTTTGTTCTCCAAAATATACTATGACGACATTGTCTGCCTTTCCAATCTCGTCATAGTATATTTATGAGAACAAATTTACCATCCCTCAAATCACATTAGGCTATTCTCGCGTGACAGAAAACTACTACTCGCTTTTATGATCACCTAGCAAAGACAATTAAGGAAAGAAATATGAAAGAAAACATGATTTTTTTCATAATAAGTCAGGAAAGGACCTAAATACAGGATTGTACCAAGGAAAAAAGGACTTCTGGCCACCCTAACTAGTGCTCATCAATTTTGGAATTGTCTGATGTACAATATGATGTGGTTACATTATATACGTTATTTGTATATAAAAAGTGCACCTATAATGCTATTTTTAAAGATTCCTAATTTTGTTTTGGAGGTCTCCTACAATAGGTTTACATGCACCCAAGGTAAAAAAACACTTACATTTTCTCACAGTGTCTGAAACGGTTCAATAAAGCAGAGGTTTCCAACCCTAGTCCTGGAGGACCCCCAACACTGCACATTGTGGATGTCTCTCTTGTTTGACACATCCATCTGAGGTCTTTACCAACAAGCTGATAAGTTGAATCAGGTGTGTTTGATTATGGAGACATTTAAATTGTGCAGTGCTGGGGGTTCCCCGGACTTGGGTTGAGAACCAGTGTGATGTAGGATTTAGTCTTTAGCTGGGACTCACTCGAAGGCTGCGTCTTTTCAAGAGGTTGCATTTGTCGGCCGCTTACCTCATTGAGGCTGCCTCATTTCAGAAAAGTAACCGTTATAAATTTGACCATTATTCCTTCTGAAGTATATAAACAGTTGTAATTTCTTTATGACTTTGAAATATAATGGTTACTTTACTGAAATGAGGCAGCCTCAATAGCCGCGTTTCCACTGCCGGGCTAGGGCCGGGCCAGGGCTAACAGCGAGCCGAGCTGAGCCAGTGGCCTCGGGCCTCAAGCACCGGGCTTGCGTTTCCACTGCCGGGCCAGTAGCCCCGCAGCGCTGCCCTAAACCCCGCCCCTAACACGCCTTTCTGGATCAAACGTCATACAACCCAACCCATTTCAGCGGGTATTATAAATTTATTTATTTTTTAAGTCAGGAAGATAGCGTGTATATTAACTCACCGACCAGGCTGCAATAGTGTCCCGATTGTCTCGCGAGTCGCCTCTAACAGAGGGACGCAGCACACAGTTAAATCCCTTCTCTGAGCTCTGCTTTGTTCATTGTGCGTTTGAATCGCCTTGTACAATACTGCGCCCGCAATTTTTTTTCTTTTTTTCCTGAACTTGAAGCGTTGCTCGCTGAATGCTTAGCTTAGAAAGTTCAGCATCAATGTATTTTATAACTTCCTCGTTTCTTCACACGCCGTCAAATTGACGTTGTACCCTTTCTTCTGCCCAAATGCTCAGAAGAGCTTTGGTTTCTTCGACAGACCAGTACAGGCGATTCTCCATTTCCAGCAGCGATTATTTTGCGCGATATAAAAAAGTGAAATGTGCATCTTGCTTCAGATCATAACGTTCCATAACACTGATAAACTCCGCCTTTTACCTTGAGCACGCCTCTAGCCCGAGCTGGCCCGCTTTGGCCCAAGGTATTCGACGGGCCAGAAATCCTGGCCGTTGGCCCCGAGTAAGCCCCGATCAAGCCCCGGAAGTGACAGTGAAAACGCGACTGGCCCTGGCACGCACTAGCACGGCTCGGCCCTGGCCCGGCAGTGGAAATGCGGCTAATGAGATATGAGGCCGGAATGAGACACAGCTTCTCTTTCCAAAAGCCTAATCTGCTCTGATTGGTCAGATGGTCCAGTCTGTTGTGATTGGTCTACTGCTTTCATTGTGTGTTGGAAACGAAATGTCCATTACCGTATCTTAATTTCAGCTCTGGAAGCTTCCTCAGCACTTGTAGACGCAGTGATAAAGAACACTAATGATGGCGATGGTTTTACTGTATCAATTTCGAGCCTTAATCCTCATTCTTTGGAAGTGCATGCAAAGTGGATTTGCTTTGGCAGCAAACAGAAAACAGTGTCTTCTTAAAGTATCACAGTGCGATTTTTGCTGTTCTATGAGCTCGCTGATGATCGCATGGAAATCGGTGATGCTCGCGGTCGCGGCTCGCAGCGTGTGAGAGGAAATACGAGCCGAGCATGCTACGAGCACCTCCCGACCTCCCGATCATTTTTAAACATGTTTTAAAAATTCGGGGAGTCGGCCCGATTTTCACCAGCGTATAGGCTGTCCCCTATTGCCAAATCACACACAACCATGTCACAGGCTAGATCGATGGGACTAGAGCTCAATGGCAGCAACCATACAGCGTGCGCATACACTGTCACACACACACACACACCTCTCTCTCTCTCTCTCTCTATTTATGTTGTTTATGTTGAAAGGAATGGCTACTGTTCTCTGCTTTTCAACAAATCATTTGCACACACATTTCTGTCATTTTTCTATCTGAAGCTATAGTTGCTTGCAACATTGAAAGCTGTATCTGTGTTTAGCGCGAAAGCTCACTTGATTGCCGCCGGCTCGGGATAAAATTCGGACAGTCGTGCCGTGCACCAGCTGCTTTGACGCGATTATCAAGTTAACTGACTCGTAACGTGTGCAATATCTCACGACCTCCCGAGTGTCCGAACTCGCACCGTGTGCACCCGCCTTAACATGTCGACAACACGACCCAAACACTTCTAGGCCTCAGCTACAACTACAGTGTTCGACGGCGGGTCAAAGTAGACGTTGTTCGCTTACAGCCAGTGAAGACAATAGACGAGCATTACGCAAAGTTGTTAAAGACCTACAGTACGTAGATTTGAACTGAAAGTAAGGCTGGAATTACTGATGACTTGTTTCAGGCAGTTCAGAATCAGTTCTTTCTTTTGGGAGACAATAACTCATGATATAATCAATAACTCACGATAACATTTATCGTGCACTTTGTTCTTTGAAATTGCTGACTTTTTTACTTTTTATATGCATGGTAATATCCGAAAAAGCATAATAGGGTCACTTTAACATAATATTATATCATAAATTATATATGGTAAATAATAAAAAAATGGGATAAATAAATATATATATATATATATAAATTACTTACTGACTGACTGTAATATTGTGTTTCTGTACATCTCAGGGTTTTGTTGTGGCTCTGTTATACTGTTTTCTCAACGGAGAGGTAAGCCACAATTTTTCCCTAATTGTAAATGTGTAAAACAGGAAACACATACTGCTTTCAAAAATACACATTCATATTTTTGCATTTCAGGTACAAGCAGAACTAAAGAAGAGAATGTGGAAGTGGCAGACACAAAATTATTTGAGATACAGTAAGAGAAGACGAACCCTCTTTACTGAGAGCAGCACAGTCACACAAATCTCAGTTTTAGAGAAGTCCAGCCCTAAGGAGCAGCCCTTAACGGAGTCCCACAACAGTGTGTCGACTGTCTGAAACCAATTCTTTACAGTTCATCTCATTCCCTTTTTCTCTTTCATGAAACCTCTTAACCAGGGTTCTTCTACCCTGGTCTTTGAGGTTAACTGTCCGGCCAGGTTTAGTTTTCAAACCTGATCAAACTCACCTGCCTGTAATTTTCCATTAATCCTGAATATCTTTATTAGCATGTTCAGGTGTGTTTGATTAGGGTTGGAGCTAAAGGACAGGAGGGCCAGATTTGAAGAATCCTGCACTATGCCATAAGACACAAGGCACAATTGAAAAACTTTCAAATTCATGCAAATTCAAGCATTGTGTTAAGGATATAAAATGGTTGCTAAAACAATCCAAAGATATACTTCTGTTTTCTACACATCACATCACTGAAACAATTCAACTCTTTACTGATAAAAATACTATTTATTCATAACCCAAAAGCCCAAATCATATTGTTCAGTTTCCCCTACTGCTGGTTTAAATTAGATGGTTGGCACTGACTATTTACAGAACAAATTCCAATACAGGACAGTTCACAGAAAAACTGTCATTTACTCATTTTGTAATCCCCATCAACTTTTATATATGGAAAAGAGCAGCTTAAATGATGATCGTGATTTAACTTTGTTAAACGTGTTGCTCTGTAAATTGTATTTATCACTCCGTTGTTTGTCACTTGAGACTTATGGTCTGCCTGCCTTGAAAGTTGAGAGTGCATAATGTATAGATGTTGAATACAGCTAATTGCCTTACAGTAAACAGACCTTATTTTGGATCATTCACAAAATAATAGCTATCAATTAAAAAAAGAAAGAAAGAAGGTATTTTTATATTCACAAAGGCATTCTTATTCTTAATCTTAAATTTTGTAAATTGCATTTCAAGGCACTATATTGCACAGTGCACTGGCCCTGTATGTGTAAAGAATTATAACATTTCTACAGGGCTTACAAAGTATTTTTTCTTAAATAGCAGGTATTTTCAAAATATTGTATTCATTTTGAATCAAATTGATTTGCTTTAATTAAATCATTAGGAGTTATTGAAAATAAAAAATAATAAAACACTAATCCGTCTCTGTACAAAGAGACCTTACAAAGTAGATACAAATTTTAAAGATGATTAATAGTCATGATATGAGTATTTATAAGTATTATAATGAATAATACTGTTTTGAAAATGGCCTATTTAAGAAACCTTTGCAGTGCACACATCTGGAGCACTAGACTGTAAAGTTTCTTGTTTGGTAGAAATGTTATCTGGTTTCAACAGGTTTTGAAGTTGCTAAATGTATTTGTAAATATCCTTGCTGTATGTACAGTAGTAGATTTTATGTGATGTGTACTATGTTTTACTGACATTTGCGCTCAGTTATTTGGTGGTTTGATTATAAACAGTTTCATTAATATTAGTGTTCATTTTCATTAATAATAATGGTAACACATCACTAGTTCTATTCATTTCAATCACACACATTTATTTTGCAATATGAGTTTATGTGAAAGTCAATGTTCATTTTCAGTCTTTTGTGAACCTGGATACTTGTCATAATTGAACATACTGTATGTCGGATACTGTATAAGCTGTATAAAGTTTGAATATATAGTTATGTCAGTGCCATAGAAATGTGCAATAGTGTTAACTCAGAACAACCCAAATGCGTTTTTCTTTTCTATCACAGCATTTATTGTTGCTCAAACAATGATTTCAGACAAGAACACATTACAGGGATCATGAATTCAAAACCATTCAATTACAAAAAGGACTGTGAATCAGGAATAAGCCTGTCACTTTCTGACATTATGGTTATATGCTATGCTAAAATGTATTTATTCTCTGATTGTTTTTTTAATATTGTGTTGTATATTGTCTTTTTCTGGTTGTCAAAATGTTGCAGATTCCCATTCCGATGACTTCTGTTGTCTTAAATGTAAGCGTTGTTGCTACATTCACCAACCTGCCTTAACATATTCAGTTATCAGATGTGTATTGTTAAATGTGTGGAGTAAATATCTTTATTTTGTGCTTTGTGACATTGTATTGTTATATGTAAATGGACTCCAATTACCATAGGCAATGGTCATGGAACTTTGATTTGAAAATAAGGGTACGTTCACGCAACAACGATGTACTAAAAACGGAAAAGTTTTTCCTCTTCGAGGACAATGTTGTCAAAAAATGTTGTTGCATTTTTGTAGTTTACACAGAGACAATAACGATCTTGTTTTTATCTCGCACCTGTTTTTTTTAATAGTTTGTATTTTCAGCCCCCCAAAACGTTGTTGTAAATGAATGGCCAAAATGCATTAAAAAAAATCTGCTTTAGTTGAAAAGATTATTGTGTAAAAACGCCTCCTTAAAGTCCCCGTGAACCGGAAGTTGCAAACGACTTTTCTCCAGTGTTGTGACGTATTTCCGAGTGAAACGGAATACTAAATGAGGCAAAATAGTGGGCGTGGCTTTTTTTCCAACTAGCACCTGATTGGATCTAGAAAAGTAGGTGTTTTATTCAGCCTGTCTACTGTCAGTTGGAGGGGCGTGGTTACGGATGTTAAGCAGACACCCAAACCATCAAACCTACGTCATCAGGGAAGGTCCTCCAATGCAGAGGGGAGGGGAAATTTCAGATTTTGATTAAAGATTACGAAGCCAAAAATTTTTTTTTGTGTGGATTGACTTGCATGGATGAATTGTTCACCACAAAACGATCAATTTAGGCAAACAAAGTATGGTCAATTTTGAATTCATGGGGACTTTAAAGCTGCTGTCGGCAACATTTTTTTTATCATATTCAGTGAAATCAACACTATAATCCGACAGAACAACATAAATAAAGTGGTTTTAGAAAAAAAAACGGAGCTTTTAACCCCACCTGGAGCGTGTTATTTGATTTGCAAAAATCCACAGCTCCCGGATCATCGGGTCCAATCAGCGCAGGGGGGTGTGAGATCTGACTGTCAATCACAGATCGGGCACACGCCACCCCTCGCGCACGTTACAATCACATGCACACGCCTGAAGTTCGCGGAATTTCGCGCAGGAAAATCAAGTAAACTCATTTAGACTAGAGTATATATGACGTTAGCAATTACAATCTATCGGTAGATTAGCCAGGACAGCATACCTCCAAATAATCCATGGTGTTGATGGATGCTGATGAGACGGGCGCGTTCACTGAAAATCTGGTGCACACGCACTGACGAGCATGAACTCGGTGGGAGGGTATTCGTTGATAGTGGGGGAGGGCCATGAGAGTAAACATTCAAAATTTTGCCTAAATCCACTCAATCTGCCAGACTTGCCGACTCCAGCTTTAAATTGCAACATTTTTGCAGCTTTTCTACTATAATTGATCAAAGCAGACCTGTGCACTTGTTACTGTATTTTTCCACATTGGTGACAAAGACACATTAATACATTTTTAACATCTACATTTACTGCCTTCAAGATATTTACTGGTGTCTTTATGGTTCGGGATTATTAATTGCAACGGGACCTTTACTTGTCAAAAACATTTAATGATGTTTCAAAATCAATAGTCTATAATATACCAAAAATTTACCAAACATACATCCAATAACATACATCCAATATGACATAAAATATGCACAATGAAAAAGGAAAAACATAAAAAGCCAGCAACTCTCAATAAAAAAAAAGTTTAGCTGCATTTAACATAATCTAGAACATTCAAATGAATCTACTGTCATTACAAGTCTCCCAAAACACTTTAATATTAGTATTCTAAATACTCTATTCTTTTATACTGTGTGAAGTGACATTATATATCCATCCATTAAAAATCAAATATCTTAAAACATTTTATATATTACATCTAAATCCATAGCTTATTCTACGTAGAGTATTAGTTATCATACATTTTCACACAATTTAAATTTACAAGAAAGAAAAAAGTAAAATGTCATTTCTGTGTAAAACCCCACACACTTTTATCTCTATACCCGTGTAACGCTGACAGTTTACTTAATTTCTCATCAGCCCGTTTTTATGTATATTCTGGTAGTGGAGATCAGGAGTGGTAATTGCAGGCACGTATGCTGAAAGGTCAATATATTCTGTTGAATGTTGTAAAGAGGTATAAATTGTGCTGATTTTCTAGTTCTGGGTAAGTTAGAATCTGTGCCAGCACTGCAATCCCACTACTTTGAACGAGAGGTATTAGAGAGCTCTTAGAGTAAAGTATGTCATTTAAAATGGTCTTAATTTATAATACAAAAATCACTGTAATAATTAACAGGATATATTAAAAATAGTCATGATGTGTTTTCAAGAAAGTGCACATGCTTGTTGGCCCTAGGTACAAAAGACTCACTTATTTTTTGTCATTGTGGTATTTTTTCTTGAAACAACAATATTGCGGTACATCATACTTTGTATGCTTTAGCAGCCACTAGATCACAGGAAATGCATGCATCGTTTAAGAGGAATACGCAGCGATGCTGGGAACTACACATTTAAACAACATGATCAGCTCTTCACAATTCAACTGAAAAAATCTAAATGCAAAATTATCAATTTTTAAATAAAACTTCTGCATATGTTCTGTGAAATGACAGGTACGCGCTGTTTAGTTTTTGTTATTTCGACATTTACACTAAAAAGTATTGCAAATTATTTCTCTGCTTTAAAGTGTCCACAATGTACAGTATTGCTAAAGCTTGTTTACTCAGTGTGACACAGAACAGAGTGTAATGTTAGCACACACTGATCACGTCACTGAATGAAAGGTACACTATGTAACTTTTTAGTAAACATAATCAATCCTTCTTCGAAAACGTGTTTCGTCTGACCCTGATTCACTATGGTAAACCTATTATAAGTGCTTATATTTTATCATCGCTGACAGGCTGTCGGGGATGGATCTCACTGGAAATTGCGTACATACATCACTCGCTCGTGCGAGTCTCGTCACATCCGTAAATTGAGAAAAGTTGCTCCAGCTGCTTTGATGCATTTATGGTGAGGGAGTGGCATAGGTTAGTTGTCACAACGAGTCTAGAAAGGTTGATGTGGAGCACGCTAACCTTGAAACATCCGGGGAATAACCCAACGCTGAACAGAGGAGAGTCTGTCGGCTAAAAGAGAATGCGACAGAGCTCTAATAAAACAAGAATCAACACTGGCTTGGCTGTTCAGAGATAGTACAAAACTGGGGGATTTGAAAGGTTGTAAAACTGACTGGTAATTTGTAAAGCATTATCTGTTATGAAGGGTCATATTCATCCGCACAGTCACGCAGAGCCAGAGCACAACCAAAACAATGTTCTTCCGCAAAATGCATGCAGTTTTGTTCAAAGTTACATAGTGTACATTTAAAGAGACAGTGTTTAAACATTATACAGTGTTTAAAGTGAATATAAAGAATATTCATAATATTTAGAATTATTAGTAGGCTAAGCCGTTTATTATTGGCTACTCTCAATACTTTGTCAAATGCTAAAATTACATTTATTGGAATCAATCCATCTTGGAAAAAGTTGGATACATGATCTCAATAACTGATCCTAGATCTAAATTACGTCAGTTTAAATTTCAACCTATCACATTTAAAAAATAATAATAATTGTAAACACTGAAATTTCCACTTAAAGTCAAATTCAAATGCTCAATTATATAATTAGGCTATATATATAAATACATATTGATCATATAAAATATGACATTATTTTTGACCTTGTGTGCATTTTTTTGTTTTGTTGTTATCATTTGAAAAACAGGGCATTTGTTTTGTGATAGATCTGTTTAAACGCTAATATAAATGCTTCACAAAGGGAGAATATATAAATGTAAACCGTTTCTTAAATTGGGGAGAAAAACTGTAATGTATCATGATCATGTATGCAAGATGTTTGTTGCTTTCCCTAAATCAGCTTTTCTCAGTTTTTGGAATTGGTTTTTCATATCAAATTACTTTTATTTTTTAGCATTACAAAAAGAAAATTGAAGGCCCATAGAAAGTTATGCCAAAGGGGGGGAAAGAAACTATAGCTTAAAATCTCTAAAGGCCTCTTGGTTTGCTGAAGCATAATAAACACACTTTCACATGATGCAGTTATGTGTTGCAGTTTGTTGTTGCAAAACCAAACAATTGTCTCTTTTGTGCAAAAAAGGCACTTTGAAGAAAAAAATATCTTCATATGCAGTGACATCAGTTGCAAAGAATTGCAAACTAGTACGGCAAATGACGTCTTAAGGGGTCAAATATCCCAAAATTAATCTTTGGAATCTTAAAAGTGCTCTATTTGTAAATGTGTTAATGACATTAAATTACAATTACAAAATGAGCAAAATATAAAAAATTATGAGTAAGAAAAGCTATAAGACAGTTATCAACTTTCAAACAGTGAAGTAATTTAGCGTAGTTCAAATTAATTCATTCAATGAAATGAGCATAAAGGTTCATAATTCTTTGCTGCTCATGCCAAACATTGTGGCACGAGCTTTTTTGCACTGTTATATTCCAATTGACATTTTCTGTATAGCGGCTGTTTAAAAAAAAATAGAAGCACATTAAGTACTAGAGGAATATACTCATGAAAACAAGTTACTGTTTTAAGACAGTTTTGAATGCTAGTTCTGCTTTGCGAACGTTAGTTTAGGAAATGTGTCACATGACTGTAAAAAATATATCAACACTGGCATCCACAATGCATGTCCACCAAATAATGCGTGTCATTGTTTGTCTTTAAACTTGATTTTCCTGCAGTCCTTCATTCTACAATTACAACTTATGAAAATATTTACATATTAAATTAATCATTTATTGATTAAGCTCCCGTGGGAAATATGTGGTTTCTTCCCCTTCCAAAATGACTTTTTTCATGTCGCACATCCCGATGATGACGCCGGGCCGGACACTGTCGTCATCCTGTTCAACTGCTTTATTTTTTGATGATGAAATATTGAGAATCTCAAACTGTCACGAATCTTCACAGACAGAGAAAAGAAAGCATGAGAGACTCCTGTAACGTTGATATGTACAAATATATCCACCTTGTTCAAGACCTTCAGCTTGCTGGATGGAAACACTCCTAAACACTGGATTGCTAGGGATTCTTTACCTCCTCTTGGCCTGCAACTCCTTTCAGTTCAGATCAAATCCAATACGTCCACATCAAAAGTATCCATGTTTGCTTGGCTCACAATAGATCATTGGTTAGAGTACCATAGCAAAAGCCTGTCATCTATGGACGGTTGGCAGATATTACAGCTTCAACCGACACAACACAGACTTTAAAGAAGATGAAACGGGACTTGGATGTTGACAGATTATTGATAGCTCTAGTTTTGAGGAGTTTGGTCTTCAGTCTGTTCCTCTGAGCGCTCATGTGGCTGGTGTTTCCGCCTGCAGGCTGGACATGCGTATCTGTGAGCTGCTCTTGCTGAGGATTGAGAGCTGCGTGCCTCCATTCACACCACTGCTGGCCAGGGACGGGTGCCTGTGCTTCATATCCACGGCGAAATACCGGTTCACCGTCCAGCTGCGCCATTTTCGCTTGATTTCTGACTGCACCTTTGGGGAGAAACTTCACTGGGTTATTAAACTGATTGGATCCTACAGGAGGACATCAGCAGATCTCTTTCCATGCTGGTCATGGACAAGCCTGAATTTTAAATCATCTGGTTAATAATTTACACGTAATGCTGGTATAATGAGCACTCCAATGTGCAAGGGCCTTTAGAGACATTTCTTTATGCAAACAGAATCTTTATTAAAAGTTACAACAAAATCTAATTTTATAAAAAAAAAAAAAAAATGTATGTGTGTGTACTGTGTATAATTATTTTGTATATATAAATACACACACATGCATGTATATATTTCAGAAAAATGTGTTATTTATATATAAAATATTTATATATAGTATAAATTATGTATAAATATATATGCAGTATACATGCAAATATTTCTTAAATATATATGCTACATGCATAAGTGTGTATTTATACAAAATAATTATACACGGTACACACACATATATTATGTAAACACAAACTTTTATTTTGGATGCGATTCATCGTGATTAATCATTGCATAGCCCCAAATAAAATATTTTAATTCACTCTAAAAACGCTGCGTTGTTTCAACCGATGTTTGGGTCAAATATGGACAAACCCAACCTTTGGGTTTAAATATGTAAGTGAAAAAAATTACAACCCAGCATTTTTTAAGAGTATGCTATTAAAATATACATTTCACAGATGCTTTTATGCAAAGAAGCTTACAACAGAGGACAATATTGTACTTATTTTTGTAATCTGTTTATTTTACATTTCTCACTTACCATACTTAAACATTTTGGAGTGTTTTCTAATCTATTGGAAATATATCAATTTTTTTTCAATAGGAATCCATTAGTAATTGTGGTAACTGGAATTTCCCCCCATGCTAAATCAGAATGAAATGTTGCTAACAGTATCAGTTCATACTTAGTGTGTGAATAACAAGTATTTATTTTTCAGTATAGCATTTGTAAAGGACTTACCTCTCCATTGAGAAAGCAGTAAAGAACAGCTACAACAAAGCCCTGAAAAGAAAAGTTGTTTATCCTAAGTAAGGAATAATTGCTGACGTGCCGTTTAATTATCAGAAAAATAAAGTACTATTAAAAAAGCAACTTAAAACATAGTAAAATTTTAGTTGGGCAAAAGTTGCAATTATTATAATCTTGTTTAATCTAATAATATATCATCAGATAAAATAAAGTGGACAAATTAATACTTTTTTTAGTTCATACTTACTGTTAACCAACACTACACTACAGTGCAGACTGTAGTGTACAACACTACAGTGTGCAGAATATACATGAAATCAAAAAATAAAATGTTTTCGGTCACTGCAAGTATTTAAAATGTCATATCTGAGAGAGCAAAAGGGGAGGGGGCGTATACCTGAAAAGAACCAAGACCAAGTTCAAACACGAGTCTTTCTTTCTTGCTGACATCTTCTGGTGTGAGCGCAAATATGGTATAGTGGATTCCAAATAGAGGAATGAGGAGAAGAGTGGAGCGGGCCAGACGCCTGTCAATCACACAACACACTAATCATGAGACTCCACAACTCAATAGAATGGTGCTAAACTTAGGGATGTAAATATATAAAAACAATATGTATATTACTAACAGATAAATGCTGGACTCATTCCCTCCAATATCTGGAGACTGAAGCTTCTGCACCAGGATTATAATGATGCCAATAAAGAGTATAAAGTTGATCTGAGGGTAAAAAAAAAAAGACAAGAGATATAGTGTATATTTAGTTCTGTCCTGCTGAATCAATACAATAATGCAGTAGCTTAATATTATAGTAAAAATTCTTTTGAGAGGGAATATTTTAGCCGTACCATGATGGAGGCGAGAACAGGACCCTTGATCACCCACCAGATGGCAGCATTGTCATTAATATCCCAGCAACTGCAGGCAACGTCAGATATTTAGCCAATTTGATCAGTTTCCCCTCATTGATGTATTTATTAAATAACATTATTATAGATATGATAAATAAATCCTTCATCTTACCCAATGTTATCAAAATGAGCTCTTAAGACAGCCCAGACAGCCACACATATTGTTGGAGTACCTGAGAAAACATGGGCAAACGGAAAAAAAAATTATTTCACTTACAAACACTTGTTTGTATGTGTTAAAATGTGTAATTTTGGGTCGTACCCCATCCAATAATGGTGTACCAGTAGAAGTATCTTTTCTCTGGAAAGAATGTCTCAACGAGCAGAGTAAAGAGATACAATCCCTCGATGAACAGCCAGAAGTAGTTTGACAAAACACAATAATGAAAAAATACCATCACCGCCTTACACTCCACCTACAGAAAGAAAAACTTGGAGTGAATACCGCATCATGAAAATGAATTTATATTTATTACATACTCTCACTGGATATCCACGCCATTGACGAAATTTCCGTCATTTGTGAGAAAACGCTTCCTTGCCATTGGCGGGATCTTCCGGCTTTCCATGTTTTCACTGTTATACGGTAGAGGGCGCTATTACACATCTTCTGTTCTGATGAGTACCAGAGCCCGTCTAACGGAGAGCCTTGGCACTTCCTATTAGCCCCATTGTGTATCATATTGGTTGCAGTTCCATTAGAATTCCACTGGAGGTGATCGCGGGCGAGTGCAGAATGAATGAGAGTCTATGGAGCTAAACGGCTAAATGTATCTCTTTCTCCTGCTTGTCGTTGAATCAACATAGATTTTATTGTTGATTCCGCAAGTTCAATATAGATTATAGCAGGGGCGTAGAATTTAGCAGGGACGCTAGGGACGTGTCCCTACCAATATCCAGTGACACTGATATATCCCTAGCAATATTTTCGATCAAAACTTTAAATATATTAAATATTGATGTCCCCGTCCCCACTAGTCTCGCGTAGCCAGACCTTCAGACTGACGGCTGAAGGTCTGGAATTCATAGCAGCTTTCTTTGGCCAAGGCCCGCCCATAAGAACGTTTGACCGACATGTAAAACAACCAATTACATATCGTTTCGTTCAGCGTCACGTTTCGGGGCGTGGAAATGTCCCCACAACAACAGACCGGCGTGCCACAAGTCAGTCAGCATAGAAAATCAAAGAAGGAGAAGAAAACAAGCAGTAAGTCATTGATCTGTTCGTGCACGTATAACAACAATGGCGTGCACTTCATCAACAGCCATACCGATGAGACGCTCGCGGTAAACATCTGTTTGAAGCATATCTCTCCACTTTTTAACACCCACAAGCAATTCTGGAGAACCGAACACAATACTGAATCGGCCAGCTGCGATGTCAGCGTCTGTTGTTTCATGTTTGCCCGCAAACACGGCTGATATCCCCTTCGCAGTTAGGTACTTCACTTTATCTTCCATAATAGATAGGAGGGGACACACTCACAACTTGTAAAATTGGATCTGCTGGGAATCCTTCTAAATGCTGACAAAGGGTCGGCCAGGCTTGGAAAATAATACTCTTCCCAAATCCTGCAAACAGGCTAAAATATCTCTTATTGTCTCCACTAAGTGCCTCAAAACAAAACCTTCTGGACATCTCTTAAAGAGTCTATGCCGTGAACCTCGCATACTTTTGAGAATCCTACGTTTAGCTGATCTTGATAAATGCTCATTGTCACTCATGTAAACACAACAGTTTTTCTTCCGCAATCACACGTCTGCGCTTTGTTTCCCGGCGGACCGAAAATAAACGCGACACTCGCGCTCCCCGGAAATCCGATAAAATTCAACCAATCAGATGACGACTTCGACATTCCTGAAGTGTTTCCAGTTAAGTGTACCATATGCATCAGACGTTTAGCCAACGTTCCGTGGGCGTGACGTCTGAGGCTGAGACTACGTCCCCACCAATTTCAAAATCAAACCTACGCCACTGGATTATAGGCCAAAAGTCGAATGAACGAGTACTTATGTCCTTTCGATTTCTTACAGGTTAGGCCGTTGTTGGCCGGAACACGCTAGCATTCTGCTATTACGTGACGTCATCACATTTTTGAACGGATTTTTAGAACAGATATGTGAACTTAAAAATGCAATTTTCAGCTGAGTGTATTATCTTAGCCCTCCCTTTTGAATGCAACTTTCAAATTACTTGACAAAAAAATACATCCTGAGAAAAGTGGATTTCTGGGGGTGAAACCCCATAGACTCCCATTCATTCTGCACTCGCCTGCGAGCGCCCCCGCATGGACAGAGACGTGTTACTGCAGCCAGTCCAGAAACCGGAAGTAACCAGACAGTGCCAATTCTCTTCAATTAGACTTTCTCTGTGAGTACTGAATTTCCTGAAGATGCAGAAACGAGCGATATCACGTGTAATCAAATGAAAAATAACTCAATCACCTACATTAAAGGTGCTCTAAGCGATGTCACGCGTTTTTTAGGCCAAAACATTTTTTGTCAGCAAACATCTCCTCACTATCCGCTAGCTGCCTGTCCCCTGAACACACTGCAACAAACGCGGTCTCTGTAGACAGCCCAGGCGCCACAAACTGCAACAAAAACCAACTGGGGCAACCCGCTTCATGAAACAAAACAGTGTGCAGCCAATAACCGAGAAGAAGGGTGTGGGGGTGGGGTTAGTGTGCGTACACATGAGGGGGGGTGTGGAGGAGAGAGAAGCGTGAAGAGGGAAGCTAGAATTATATTCTCTTTAAGTTTGATATGGCCGACACACGACCAAAGAGACAACGTTCCGATGAACAGATTGCAAAAATACAAAGAAGAGGGAAAAGGAGAAGGAACGCGCGAAGTCCGAATTGGAAAAGCATTTGAAAGGTGGCAAGATCTCCGCTGGCAGAAGGGCTTCCAGTCCGACATTCAGGTAGCTCTGTTTTTAATGGACAGGTGGGTAAATCCAGTTCGGTTTTTCTAAATGGACTTTCATGTTCGCCTAACAAACATAAGGATATATTTAGCTAGAACAATGCAGTCAGCGCTAACTTTGGTGAATTAGACTTGTAGTCGAGACCGCCTAAACCGAGACCAAGACACTACCAAGACCAGATGGTATCGAGACCAAGACAAGACCAAGACCAAGACCAAGACAGACCAAGTCGAGACCAAGACCAAGTCGAGACTAAGACCGAGACCAAGTCGAGACCGGAGGGGAAAAAAACATTAGTGTTGAAGCTAAGCAATAACTTGTCAAATGTTGTTTTGCATTTGCCTGCCTATCTCTGCTGATTTCGAAGTCTCCAAATGAATCCATTCTGCAACTTTTAAATACATAATTATATTTTTAAAAATGAAATTATAGGCTTAAAGTAACAACAGGTAACTTTTCAACCTTCATAATATATTTCCAAGTCTCTTGTGATGGTACATCGACTTACAATAGGTTGAATGACACGTCTGCCATAGCCTGACGGGGTCTGTAGCGTTTTTAATCGTACTTTTAAACTTCGGGTTTCGGGTAGTAACCGGCGAACAAAGAGAACTACAAAATTCGACTGCTTTACGGCATATACGTCACTTCCACCACCACCCCCACTTCCTTAAAATCGGACTTGCGAGCCAAATGTTATAGTCACGGCCGAAGCAGCACAGAAAAACAAGAAAGCAAAGGTTTTATCGGAGCAAAGCAAAAAGAGAAAAAGAGAAAGTGATCGCGTTAAAGGCAGAACGAGGATCAACATTGCAGAGCTGCCAACTCTCACGCATTGGCCGTGAGACACCCGCATTTGATTGGTTTCACACGCTCACACGTACGCCACACCCCCGGTTTCTCACGCTAAATTGTCAACCCGGTCGGTCAAATCCCTGAAAGATGAGTTCATCTATAGATCTACCTGTTGAGCCACTCGTGATCGACAAGTTATACCGCAAATTAGTTCAAATCTCCCGGAATCTAGAGCGAGCGCGCACGCGAGACAGAGACTGTGCTCCAACGCGCGCGGACGGCAGAGAGAGAAAGCGAGCGAGAGACCTTGCGTGTGCAGGGAGCATCAAACCCCCCATCGACAAAAGAATGCCTCTCTCTAACCTCTCTAATTCGCTAGAGTAGTAGCGAATTATCAATCTGGTAGCTAGTAAACGATATTCTAGTTTTTGATGGTTAGCTATCGCTAGTATTCTCGTTCTGATTTGAACTTTGCAATCGATGAAATGCAAATAGCAAATGTTTGACCTAAAAAGTGTAGTCTACTCAACATGTACAAAGAAAGGAGGAAGATTATTAATAAAATCATATTTTAGGATACCTAACATGTCTGTGATATTTGTTTATTTGTCTTGCCTCAAGCTATAATGCAAATCGATTTGTAAAATTTGCAGATTCATTTATGGTAGCTTGATATTATAATATTGACGATATATGGTTATTATCAACCACTCAAACATTGCATTGAAGTATCATATAGATCCAGTAAAACGGTAACCAATAGACTAGGCTACTATAATGACGCTGGCTTGTAAACGCGATCATTTGTCGTTAGAAAAAAAATAAAACCCATGAAATTATATTCATATGACATGCTGAAATATATGCCACTGTACCTGGGATGAAAACATTTCACACGCGACGCAAGCAGAACACCTGCATGTGACCTCCTCCTACAGTGTTCAGGGCTATCCTGGTTGTCAACAATTGCACGTGCATGTAGGATGACAGAGTTTACGACAGTAGTAGAGGACAATACTGTTTCCCAACTGTAGGGGGAGCCCGAGAGCAAAAAACTACCTGTTGTTACTTTAAGTGCAGGATCCGAAAGTTGGTCGTTTTTGTCGCTATGGTTACACACACACACACACACACCGTTGGCGGTGCGCTCAAAGTCATCTGTCAGTTGTGCAGTTACCCAAAATCTCCTGAATGAAGGTAAAACCCATCATGTCACTGATATGTGTTTTACTAAATATTAATATATCAAAAACTGTACATGATATGTGTTTTTTAAATCAAGTGATCAAAGTGCTCGTTGCCGCTGCGATCAGTGGCGCGGATACAGTGTTTTCTCGCGTGGCTCGCGCGCACCGCACTGTCTTCACTCGGACGCGCGCTTCAATCCGTTGCGGATATCGTCGTGGATATTGTAGTATTGTATTGCTCAATCCCCTGACCACTATGTCGGTCTGAGACAGCGAGACCTAGACAAGACCGAGAAGTCCGAGACCAAGACAAGACCGAGACCAAAGACCGTCAAGGCCGTGACAAGACCGAGACCTCGAGACCGGTCTCGAGACATACATCACTATGGTGAATACAACATATGTTTCTAGCAGCTAGCTATCGATCTCTATTGTAAATGATCAAGCAAACTCACAATAGGGCGACAGTTTGTGTGAATGATTGTTTTCAACAACTGTTTGTTATGAATTTGAATGTTCATTCATAGCCTATTGACAACTTTGACTAAATTTGTTTACGACGGAGCCGTTGTTTATTATGTTCACTGGGAAACGTGAAGCTAACGTTATCTTGCTATTATTGTGTCCTTGTGGGAGCTAAAGATATAACCTCAGGTGGCGAAACGTTTTATCGTGTTTTTCTGGTAATGTTTCTCTTTTTCTGCATTCTGTTCTGCATTATATGAAAGCATTTATCTAAATTGGCGACATTACACCTTGAATGAAGTATCAGTAAAACTAGGGGGAGGGGACGGGATGAGGAGGAGGAGGAGGGAGGGTCTAGCTAGCCTCCGTTTTGTTTGACAATACTTCGAGCATCAACAAGAAGTGACGTCATCCGACATCGCTTAAACAGCATATAAATCAAAACTGTCTAATGAATGAATGAAAGTGAATGAAATGTTGACCCAGGACAAGATAGGACTGTGCAAGCAGTATGGGTGTTGATGAACTCAATCTACTCCATCTGTGTTTTGATCATCGTTCTGAATCCGATCTGGATAGTCTTTGACAAAAACGTGATTTTTTCATGAATATGAGAAATGTTGCTTTTTTATGAAACCTACCCACATTCAAGTGTTGATTAAAAAAAGAATGCAGGAAGCTATAATATATATTAAAGCAGATCTTTGTTCTTTCTTTTGATATATTGCATATTCAGATATTCAACAAAGTAGCCTATTCTGGGGGCAAAACACAAAAGTATTTTTGTGAAAATGGTAAAAAATCCTGGCGGGGAAAGAGTTAAAGAATTGGGGTGCGTAAATTAATTTTGACAATTAATGACAACGCAGCACGGTGAATAGCTGTTATTACGACAGAAATGTCTTATTATTGCTGTTAACATAACTGTTGCAAATAAATATACATTTTATACAAAAACAGTTTTTAAAATATGCATCTCTGTGTGAGTGTCTCAACTTTAAAACTTGCCATCTCATCTGCATTACCTAACATTTCTTATGAAACGTATTTAAACATAACATAACATGACAAAATGTGTGTAACTGATGTAAAGATTAATATCTTACCCTCATGTTCTTTTTCTCTATCTTTTTTAGTTTTTGTTTATTTTTAGTTTTCAGCTCATTGTTAACTCTTCTTTTCTCATTTGTATTCTGATGACATTGAACATATTGTAGGCTATACAAAGTTAAATGTCATCTCTGTATGTTTTGCAAAAAAAAAAAAAGAAAAGTATGCTGCGTCCCAATTCGCATACTATCCGTCCTAAATAGTATTAGAAAATAGAACTAGTACGTCCCAAAAAGTAGTATGTTGAAATGAGTGTTCCAAAGAGACCCGGATGGTCTACTATTTCCGGTCAGAATCCGAAGTGCAGATCGATGCGCACTTTAACGGCTAATATTGCCCACAACCCATCGCGCGTTGGACGAGGATTCGGTTAGAACTACAAACACGAGTGAAAAGTGTTAAACTACAGACATGGAGGACGCGCGAGTCTGGCGGTTATGTAGAGAGGTTTAGATTTAGAAGTGGTTTGAGTGATTAATTATCTAACCTGACGAAAATTGATTTATTCAATGTAATTGATTTAATCAGTGGTTCCCAACCTTTTTTTGTCTGAGACCCCCTTTTTCCCATGAAAATATTTTAGGGCCCCCCTTCACATTTAATGATATTATCGCTCTTGTAAGCTTGCAGCAAGGATGACAAAATATGTTTTTTTCAAACAAACGGTATGTTTATGCACAAATAATTGCCTATAATATTGAAAATACAATAACAAAAACATCAGTAGGCCCTTTGTAATTTAAAAAAGTAAGCCTAGGAGAAGCCTATAAATTGGCCCTATTTGAAATCCAAAAACAAAAATATTCACAGTGGTGTGTAGATAAAAAAAAGAAAGAATATAGGCTATTACTAAATGGCTGCTGTCTGGGGCCTCAATACTTGCATGTTATTTGTGAGGCTTTATCAATGTGAGGCTTTATTTTTTACGCTTTTGGCGCTATAGCGAGCGATAATAAACGTGCGTTTATTAACAGAATAATGCGTCTTTCGGAAGAACATTGTAGCCGGAACTACTTCTCTCTGTGTACGTCTATGACGAGTCACGCAGGCACTGGGCTACTCCGCAGCGGCAGCGATCCGAACCAGTGTAAAATAGTCCCAATGTAAACACTTATTATAGGTGTACCATAGTGGTTCAGGATAAGACAAAAACACGGATTGGAAAATGGATTCATGATGAACTCGCTCATTATATACATTTTGTAAATTTTGAACAGAAAAAAGTTAAGGACTTTTATTTAATGCTCATTGCTCAAACCTTTCAAAATATGACGCGACCCCCCACAGAGCTCGCTGAGGCCCCCTTGTGGGCCGCGACCCCCCTGTTGGGAACCGACGGTCTACATTATATTGCATCTGCAGCAGCTTTGTGAACTTTTGTAAAGATACGTTTAGCCATTAACTTTTAAATGCATCATTATATTCATATTGCAAACACATGAGGAGAGTCTCCGCATGAAAGACCCACGACTGGCAGGTGGACGTGCAACAACATTTCTCTCCGAAACAGTAAGAAATTAAATTACATTGAATGGAGGATTTTAACTGTGACAAGATGATTGACAGGGCAGTTTACGGTGACAGGATGCACGCGACAGATCTGTCCGTTAAAGATGACGTAGTAGTATGTCCCAAAGCTTGCCTACTCTTTTGCTACACACTCAAAAGTATGTAGTTTTTCTTCACAAAAAAAGTACTTTTAGGGCATAGTATAAGTAGGCGAATTGGGACGCAGCCGTAGACTGAGCTATAAGCACATCCCAGCCGGGTTCGTCACTTATTGGGGTCTCCTGGAAACATTTCCAATGTGTTCTGTTCTATTCGCAGCGCGTTTCTGTATTTGGTTGTGTTGTGAACTTTTGCGGCGTGTTTCTGTATTTGGTTGTGTTGTGAGTATTTGGAACACCCATGTGTTGTAAAACTGATGAAGAGGTTTTCTTAATTTGCGGGTGTTCTTCAGTTGCAGCGCTTTGAGCTCTTTCGGCCACCGTAACTATCCCTTTAAAAACAGAAGAGCTGTTGCACAGGGAAAAAATCCCTGGGAACATTCAAAGCAACTTTGAGGTGACTACAGAGACCTCATTATCTGAAGCAAATTAAAGCACATAACAGCAACACAAACGTGTCATTCTGAGACTAATTCCTTCCACAAAGAAATGACATGGGCAACCCGGGATGTTAATGGGCCCATCACCATGACTGCTTGGGCATTTGTGTGCGATGTAAAGGGGAGAGAGACTGAGACTCACGGTGTGTGTAAAGCAATGGCTGCTGTCCTCCTCTGCATATAAAATGCCGTCTTTAATGAAGACTGAGACGGCCCTCAGGATGAAGGACACAAACAAGTTCATATGAATGAAATTCCTGGTGCAATGTAGCTTCCTGTTGGTAAAATCCAAATAAATAAATATTACATTAAAATGTAATAAACCCCATCCTATATGTACACTGCCATTTATAATTGTGTATCAAAATGCCTGTTAGTGAAACCACTCTATTACTGAGATGCAAGTGTTTTTCTAAACACGTCACCGATACGCATGTTCTCTAGTTTCCTCTGAAGCTTGAGAATAGAACGGAAGCTCATGACCTCTTTCTGACCTCTCACCTGAACCTGCAGAGAATGACCATGGCAGTGGTGAGAGACACCAGTGAAGTGCTGTAGCCCACAGTGTACAGAGCCTTTACAGACACATAGTACATGTCCTGCAACAAAGAGAAAAAAATACAGTCAGCTAATTCAAACATGATACAGTAAATGATAAAGCCCACCTCTAATGAATACTTTACACTAAATACAGAAATAATTCTTTAGAGATTTCTTTAGAGGCTAAGCGGGTTAGGAATCTTCTGAGGGGATACAGAAGAAGAAGTAGAAAGCAGGAAAGGTGAAGGGTGCTTACTGGAGTTGTTCCATTTTCATTAAAAGGGCAAACATCAACGTAGTGAGGGAACATCTCCGACCAGCCATACTCGGTGCAGTTACGACTCACTTTTCCAAACTCTACAAAAGGTGCAAAAAAAATCCAATACATTTCTTTGAGAAAATGAGACCAAACAATAATAAATCCAATAAACATAAACAAGAAGCAGTGTTGTTATGGTTAACTAAAATGATTATATATGAATAAATAAATATATGAAAAACTTAAACGCAAATTAGTAATGTTGCCCTCGGTGTTAAACCAAATAAGTTAGAAAAACAAAACAAAAAATTGAGGTAATCAGTTACATAAAAAGATAAAGTTTTTAAAATTAAGAATAATTTTATTTTGTACTCATACATTTTAATTGCTTATAATTTTAAATATATGAGTAAGCGAATGCATACCGTTAATCTCAATTTAAATATTTTTATAAATATTTCCAAAGTGTGACTATGTGGTTGCTAAAGTATGCCTATTCTGACTGGTAGTGCATTATGGAGTTGCCAGGGTGTTTTTGGGTGGTTCCTAACTAAGTCAAAAGAGGCTAACCCCCCGTCTTCATGATAATCCGGCTCTCTAGATAAGGCCTGATTCCCTTCCCTCCATTTTATTTTCCAACAGGCAAGTATATAGTATAAAGTATTTTTAAGTATATATTACTTAAAAGCACAACTCTTCTCAATAAGCCCAACAATTTGAGGTTTCATTCAAGCTCACCGTCATTTTCTTCATTCATGACTTCAAATAGCTCGGGACAGGACATCCAGACCACTTGTCCAATTTTTGCTGGCTGCCAACAAGTAAGGTTGTCCCACATCCATCGGCAGCCTATAGAGGATTAAAAAAGAAGACATGGAGTATCATAACTAGTTGAAATCTCTGGTAACTCTGCTTCTGAACTAGTTTTTATTGGGGTATTTACGGGACCTGAGAATAGAACAGCCTAGTTTAAGATATATTTAGGTGTGCTACTTGACAGCCATTCTTAAGAAAATCAGCGCAAATGACAAGCAACAAAAATAGACTTTCATCTGCTCCAGTAAGGAAATAGATTGTAGGAATTCAATCAAAACAATACCACAGCATTTTAGCATACATGCAATAAAAATATGGTGTATTTAAGGTCTATTATGTTGAAGAAAATGCTCAAATTCAGTAAATATATAAAAATAGAGTTGTTTTTCGATACTTAAATTAATATATATATATATTCTAATTAAATGTTAGAATAATTAGAAACTTTAGCCATGTTTGATCTTTGTTATTTTTCTTTCTTTCTCTCTTTCTTTACGCAGGTAAAGGTCTCAGAATCGCTCTGTGATGCATTTTTTTTTGTGTGTGTTTGTGTATATGAGCACGCAGAACATCTTATCTTATTTATTTATCCCTTTATCTATTTTCTATTTTCAATAAATCCCTCTTCATTGAGGGGAGAAAAAGAGTTTTGCAGTGAACTAACCATGTGATGCTAAAGCATCTTATCGTCTCCATCAAGGATTAAGGACCCAAAGAGAAATAGTAAAGAGAGCGTGTGCGTGTGTGTGGACTGCTGATCTTGATTTGCATGGACAGGACAGCATCTGCCAGCTGTGTTTTTCCTCTGCTGCAAATATTAGAATGTTTTCACAGTGCTTTCAAAATATTACCCTGTCATTCTTGCAAAGACTTCATTAAAATCTAGTCACTTTACAGTTATTTACAGTATTGGAAATGTTCTGTTTCCATTCCATTTGCATCCATACATTCTTATTAGTAAAGCTTACACACAACAGCCGTCACTGCAGCCTAATAAACTGCCCAAGTGTTTACTCTAAATTACATGCATAAATTCAAACAACGTGAGCTTGACATTTGCTTCTTGGTGGTCTGCGTAAATGTCAAACATTTATAATAACAAAAGGCCAAGCAAGTGTTTTAAACACTCTGCTTCTCAAGCCAAGCACTCAAACATTTTGTTTCATGAATTATAACAGTCTGCAACAAAGGTACCCGACAATACTGACGACACTCACAGAATCAGTTGTTGAGTTTATTTCTTCGAGTTTAAAGGAAAATTCTAGAAAATGTCAAGGATGGAATTTTCTATTGCAAAGCCTTTAGCGTTCCTTTCATTTAAAACACGGGTCTTCAATCTTTTTCAAGCATACGACCTTTTGTTGCAGCGGCTCTCAACCTTACTGACTCCGAGGGCCTTCGTTGTAAAAGATGATATTTGAAGGCCCCTCAAGATATTTCTGATATTTCTGCTGAAATAATAAACTCACTCAACCTTTGATTTACAATATTTAAATATGTATATAAAAGTTATATAATATATTTATAATACTTATATTTAGTATTGAAAACTTTCTTAATTCCGGAGGTTTCAACTGAATGTTTTTCGAGGTTTATTACCAATGAATTTACATGACTTTTCTAGTAATTTGTGATTATATATATTTTTTAACTTTTCCTCACAAATAGCAATTTCTACCTGATAATATTCTTTAGAGTTTAACATAACTTGAAAAATGATATTCATTATAAAAATATATTTGACCTTTTAACATTTTCTTAATTAACTTTTTTTTAATTAATATTTTCCAGGTCTAGAAATTACAGGTTGTTGAGGGAATTAATTAAAATGATAAATATATGAGAAACACTAGAATGTTTCAACTTCACTCAGCATGTCAACTTTCCGACACACAAACACGGACATGTATTAGATCTGGTTTGCACTTCTGGAGTAGGCCTACTTATTGATCATCTTGAGTGTACTGATGTATGTATAAGTGATCACAAGCTCCTCACGTTCAATCTAACTCCTCCATCTTTACAGACAGTGAAAGAACGTGTTATCTGTTTTAGGAAAATCAGTGATATTGATCTTGATCGTCTTAGTCAATCTATGGGTGATTTACCTGTTGCGGCCTCTGTTGACCAGTACAATGCTGCTTTTACATCTATTCTGGATGAGTTTGCCCCTCTAAAAGAACGTGTTGTTTCTTTTAAGAGGTCATCTCCCTGGTATACATCTGAGTTGCGCAAGTTGAAGGCGATAGGCAGGCAGTTGGAACGGAAATATAAAAAATCAGGCCTCACAGTTCATAGACTAATGTTTGATCAGCATCAGATTGAGTATCATAATGCTCTCAAAGCTGCAAAAGGGGCATATTATTCTACAATTATTAGTAGTAACATCTTAAATCCCAGAGTTGTTTAGAACTGTCAATAATCCAATTAAATCTCCCAGTAACTTTAACTGTCTGTCACGATGTGGGTTCATGTCTTGTTCCTGTCTGTCTTGTGTTCCCCCCATTATTGTGTATTTGGTTTAGTCCTTTCTAGTTTTCCCGCTCCTCGTTTGTGTTCATGTTTTCCACCTGTGTTCTTAGTTAATTGCCCAGCTGTGTCTTGTTTCACTCACCCGGTCCTCTGTATTTAAGCCCTGTGTTTTAGTTCAGTCCTTGTGAGTTCTTAATGTTGTAATGGTTGCTTTTTTCTGTGTTCCTGGTCTGAGTTTCTTTTGTTTGTTTTATTATTAAATGTGCTTGCAATTGGATTCATCTCTCCGCTTCATTCCTGCCTGCTTCGTTACAGAAGAACTCACCAACACTGAATCCAGCAGCATGTTCGCCAGTGTCTCTTCTCCAGCCACCGAGCGGAGGAGAGGCCACTCTTTTGAGGGGACCCGGTTGGTCAAGTTTCGTGGTACACGTGGAGGCCTCAGTAGAGGAGGTGGTCGAGAGGAGCCCCGACACCACTCTCCACGCTGGCCACTCTTCGACCCTGGGTTGGTGATGTCTAGCCCAGGGCCCCATTCGCCGCTGGTTCCGTCCAGCCCAGAGCTTCACGTCAGCCACGTCCAGCCAGAGCTTCACGTCAGCCACGTCCAGCCAGAGCTTCACGTCAGCCGCGTCCAGCCAGAGCTTCACGTCAGCCACGTCCAGCCAGAGCTTCACGACAGCCACGTCCAGCCAGAGCTTCACGACAGCCACGTCCAGCCAGAGCTTCACGTCAGCCACGTCCAGTCAGAGCTTCACGACAGCCACGTCCAGCCAGAGCTTCACGTCAGCCACGTCCAGCCAGAGCTTCACGTCACGTCTGCCCAGCCAGAGACTGTTCACGTCACGTCTTCCCAGCCAGAGACTGTTCACGTCACGTCTTCCCAGCCAGAGACTGTTCACGTCACGACTGCCCAGCCAGAGACTGTTCACGTCACGTCTTCCCAGCCAGAGACTGTTCACGTCACGTCTTCCCAGCCAGAGACTGTTCACGTCACGACTGCCCAGCCAGAGACTGTTCACGTCACGACTGCCCAGCCAGAGACTGTTCACGTCACGACTGCCCAGCCAGAGACTGTTCACGTCACGTCTTCCCAGTCAGAGACCGTTCATGCCACGTATGTGACCGCAACACTGGCCATTATGGCCACAGCCATGTGGTGTGGGTGGGCTGCGCACACACTGGAGCCAGAGCCCGCTGGTCCTGCGCCAGAGCCCGCTGGTCCTGCGCCAGAGCCCGCTGGTCCTGCGCCAGAGCCCGCTGGTCCTGCGCCAGAGCCCGCTGGTCCTGCGCCAGAGCCCGCTGGTCCTGCGCCAGAGCCCGCTGGTCCTGCGCCAGAGCCCGCTGATGCGCCAGAGGCCGCTGATCCTGCGCCGGTGTCTGTTCCTGTTTATGACCCCATGGCTGCCCCTAAGAAAATTTTGGGGGGGTGCAGTAGGACCCTGGATGGGACCGTGAAGGCCGCACCGCCATGGCCGCCCGAAGGGTCTACTCCGCCGTGGCCGCCCAAAGGGTCTTCACCACCCTGGCCGCCCGAAGGGTCTTCTCCACCGTGGCCGCCCGAGGGGTCTTCACCGCCCTGGCCGCCCGAGGGGTCTTCACCGCCCTGGCCGCCCGAAGGGTCTTCACCGCCGTGGCCGCCCGAGGGGTCTTCACCGCCGTGGCCGCCCGAGGGGTCTTCACCGCCGTGGCCGCCCGAGGGGTCTTCACCGCCGTGGCCGCCCGAGGGGCCTTCACCGCCGTGGCCGCCCGAGGGGTCTTCACCGCCGTGGCCGCCCGAGGGGTCTTCACCGCCGTGGCCGCCCGAGGGGTCTTCACCGCCGTGGCCGCCCGAGGGGTCTTCACCGCCGTGGCCGCCCGAGGGGTCTTCACCGCCCTGGCCGCCCGAAGGGTCTTCTCCACCGTGGCCGCCTGAACTGCCTGCTCCACCCTGGTCGCCTGCACAGCCTGGTCTGCCCACACTCCATGGCCCAGGTCCACCATGACTATGTCCTGGTCCCGTTCCCCTGTGCGGGCCTGGCCATCCATCCCACCTCCGCGTCACCACCCTCCTGAACTATTTTTTTTTTGTTTTGATGGGCGTCGGGAGCCGCCCATAGGGGGGGGGCTATGTCACGATGTGGGTTCATGTCTTGTTCCTGTCTGTCTTGTGTTCCCCCCATTATTGTGTATTTGGTTTAGTCCTTTCTAGTTTTCCCGCTCCTCGTTTGTGTTCATGTTTTCCACCTGTGTTCTTAGTTAATTGCCCAGCTGTGTCTTGTTTCACTCACCCGGTCCTCTGTATTTAAGCCCTGTGTTTTAGTTCAGTCCTTGTGAGTTCTTAATGTTGTAATGGTTGCTTTTTTCTGTGTTCCTGGTCTGAGTTTCTTTTGTTTGTTTTATTATTAAATGTGCTTGCAATTGGATTCATCTCTCCGCTTCATTCCTGCCTGCTTCGTTACACTGTCCTTCCACTGAGCAGTGTAATGCATTTCTCAATTATTTTTCATCTAAGATTGAGAATATCTATAACGCTATTGCCTGTGAGGATGCTTTTGAGTTTGTTGAGGTGCATCCTCCTAATCTCTCTGGTCTGTCTTTTTCAAGTTTCAGTACTGTTGATTTTGATTTTATTTCTAAACTTGTTTTGTCAATGAATTCTACTACTTGCATACTTGATCCACTACCTACGACTGTTTTGAAAAACTGTCTGCCTGTCATTGTGCCCCACATCACTGCTATTGTCAATACCTCACTCATCACAGGGAATGTCTCTTCTGCTTTAAAAATTGCTGCAGTTACACCAGTTCTTAAAAAGCCTGGGAGTGATATCACCGATATGTCAAATTACCGACCCATCTCCAATTTACCTTTCCTGGCAAAAGTACTTGAGCGTGTGGTTGTTGGGCAACTCCATACTTATCTTTCTACGTATAGCATACTAGAAACTTTTCAATCCGGGTTTAGATCTGGCCACAGTACAGAGACCGCTCTAGTCAGGGTCCTGAATGACCTCCTCGTTATAGCTGACTCTGGGACTTGTGGCATTTTGGTTTTATTAGACCTTAATGCTGCATTTGATACCATATGTCACTGCATATTATTGGACAGATTGCATACGTGGACCGGTCTGTCTGGAACTGTGTTAAACTGGTTTAAATCCTACCTCTCAAATCGTTCCCAATTTGTCTACCTGGGTTCTAACAGATCTCAGACTGTGCCTCTATGTCAGGGTGTCCCTCAGGGGTCAGTTTTGGGTCCTGTTTTATTTAGTATTTATATGCTACCTCTTGGGCAGATCATTCGGAGGTATGGCCTGAGCTTCCACTGTTATGTGGACGACACCCAGATTTATATCAGCTCTCAGCCTGATCTTAATTGTTCCTCTTCAAAACTTTCTGACTGTTTGTTGGAAATTAAAGCATGGATGAAACTAAACTTTCTAAAATTAAACTGCTCCAAAACTGAAATCTTATAAATTGGCACTCCAATTAATGTCAGTAAATGTAAGGATTTTAAACTTTCAGTTGACAATACCCAATTGTCCCCTTCTGACCAGGTGCGTAACCTGGGTGTGATTTTTGATGCCCAGTTAACTTTTAATTCACATTTTAAAAACATAACGAAAGTTGCTTTTTTCCATCTGAGGAACATTGCACGTGTTAGACCATTTCTCTCTAGGCCTGATGCAGAGAGGCTTATCCATGCCTTCATCACATCGAGGCTTGATTACTGTAACTCTCTCTTTGCGGGTTTACCAGCAAATTCTATTAGGAGGCTGCAATATAAACAAAACTCGGCCGCACGTGTCTTGACTCATACATCCTCACGCCAACACATTACACCTGTGCTCCAGCAACTGCATTGGCTTCCAGTTCAGCTACGTATTGATTTTAAAACTCTGATTTTAACCTATAGAGCAGTACATGGGTTGGCTCCAGATTACATCTGTGATTTAGTTTCTCCATCCATTCCAGCTCGCTCTCTCCGTTCTGCTGGCTCTCTTTCTCTGTGGCAGCCTCGTTGTAAATTAAAAACCATGGGGGGAAGGGCCTTTTCCTACAACGCACCAAAATTATGGAACACATTACCTACAACTATTAGGGATGCTGATTCTCTGGATTGTTTTTAGAAACTTCTTAAGACACATCTTTTTAGTCAAGCTTTCAATTTATAATTGTATTACTTTGTTGTACTTTTTTTTTTACTATTTATTTATTTATTTTATCCTCATGTTTGATTGTTTTGTTCTGTACTGTAGCGCTTTGAGTCTGAGAAAGGCGCATTACAAATAAAATATATTATTATTATTATTATTATTATTATTATTATTATTATAAATATGACATACACTTAAATCTTAGCTTTTAGCTTGTTTTAAAGCATGTTTAGTCTTATTTTAAATAATTTTAACCTATCTTGGGACCACCTTGGAACTGCTGAGTACCAGTGGGTCTCGGCCCTATGGTTGAGAATCACTAATGGATAGAAAGATCAACCCCTGTGAGATATTATATAAAACTGGGTTGCACTGTAATCCAGATGCATAATAACATGTGCCTCCTATCATATTGTATTTCTTTACTTTGTCGTGATATTTACATTGCATAGGTATTTATACAGTATCAATCTCATTTTCTTTGTAGCAGTGCCAAACACAGACCAAAACGAGGAGCTTACTTGAGCAAGCTTTAGAAACTGGATGAAGCCCATATAAAATGGCTGAATGAAGGAAATCGATGAAAAATGGCCCAAAATTATATTCCAATGTCTTGTTTATTTAGTTGGCCATAAGCATGGCTATAGCACAGTCCAAAGACAGTATGCAAAATGTGAAGAGTTTGATGTAAGATAGCTACTGCTGGGAGATTATCCACCAAATTTGTTATTATTATTATTATAGTTTAAGAAATTAAACATATCCATGAGAACTTAAACAAGCAAAGTTGAATTCTTTGGGGGATGCAAGGAGGACATTTTTCTTCCAGGAGAATATTGCAACGCTCACACAAAATGACAAATCATGATTCCTCTCCTGAGGGCAGCCTTAATTACTTGTGTAAATTAGACACAGATGCATGATTAGATAAAAGACAGGGCTGTTTGTCTCTGTTCTCCAGAATCTTCCAGAAACACAACACATTGCAGGCATTCCATATTGAAGGAGAATTGTTGGCTACTTGAAATGATTGATTGAATGATTGAAATGATTCAAAGAGCCAATGGTCCAATCATTGCTTAATTTAAGCAGCTTAAAATAAATAAAGTAAATGACTAAGTTAAGGGCAAAATAATTGGATAAAGATGAAGCGATGTAAATAAGCTTGTAGCCCATACAATCCACTGACAGTTGCAAATAGTCTTGTGTATTGTGTGCTTTCTGTATTTATTTGCTGGGCATCTCAGCACTCCGTTCAGCTTATAGCCTAAAACTGTGAGCAGCTCTAGTTACATATTAACGCATGAGTCTATTCCCTAAGGACAGCTCCTTGTCAAATCAAAATGTCAGTATCTCATTACTGTCTGTGATTGTGACTGCCCAAAGGATTATGATCAATGCCACATGCAGACAGCACTGGAGGGGTGTCAGAATCAGTTCAGGAAGAGCTCTGAGCTTATGATCTTCCCCCCATTTCCCTCCGAACCGACCATCACAGTGTCTTAAATTCTTCAGCTTATAGTCTGACAGAATTGGGTTTAATTCCGTCACCCGTTTATTTCAGATCACTTGTGAAATACCTAATCTAAACTGAAAATCATTTTAAAACGTTTCTTATTATAGCTATGAATAACTGCAAGTATTCTTAGATGACTAAAACAGCAGTTTCAGGTATGTCTATTGCTTCCATTTACAGCTAAACACTAATAGCTTTGCACTGCATATAACAGAATGCAACATTTATGTGTGGCTCTTAAATTGAAAAATGTCTGGATCGAAATATACACAGTCTGACAAATAAGTACCACCTCCACATAACCAAGGCACACACAGACTCACATATTTGTTTGTTGAGGATTGTTGGTGACTGGGTGAGTTCCTGTCTTTAGCCTGAACTATTGCTAAGTAAAAGCACATACACAGACTGTACACTTACCTAATTCAGGTTCACTGCTGGGGTCATCCATGGCCATCCTTTCCATGCACTTCTCTTTCTCTAACTGAATGACACAGTCTGGATGCATGCAGTAGATCTGAAAGATGTTTCAAACACAAGTGAAATGTGAGTGAGTGAGTGAATGTAAGACACAATAGCTGTTCAGTGCGCACTTTTTAATGGTCCCATAAGTACTTATTAAAAAAAAAGAGAGTAAAAATAGTCGGAGAGTAAGCAATTTCAGATGTAGTTTTACAGTATGGTTCCGTTCTCACATGGACTGCCGAGAAATACTGTTGTGATTGTGAGTCCGAAAAATGTATGAGTTTGCTTATAGAATGGGATTGTAATGAGAACATAAAGGTTGGCACTCAAATACAGGACTGACAACTGTATTCTGCTGCTGCGGTGTTTAGGCTCTTCGAGAGCATAAATGTACAATTTGTAGCAAGGCTACTAAAGATGATCTACATCCTAAACAGTCTCAGTGTTATTCAAAAACTGTTAAATGCACATTTAAATGATAATTCTGCCTGGCAATCGCTCACTTTCCCTTGTCAAATGAACAGATAAAGCTTAAGGATTCTGACAGTGTTGGATTGTTGTTTGATGAGCTCTAAATTAGACTTGACAGCCATGAATACGAGGCATTTCGACAACATTACACCTCTATTAAGTCGTGAGAGAGTTGTGACTTAGAAACTTGTAACACTTAAAACTATGAGATTTTATAATATATCATTTAAATTTGTGTAAAAAACAAAAACAAAAAAAAGTATATAGAGTATGTATATACAAATAACCTGCTGCCCACTCAGTTCTTGCTTATCTTAAAATTAAAATAGAGACAATAGTACACACACCCACACACAGCACACAAGACATTAAATATCTTAAGCCCAGGGTCGAATGAAATTCTGAACCAATCCAAACGTGTGTTCCTTCGTATCTTTCCCACTCAGTGTAAGCTTTAAGAAATCTCTCCTTCCTTCTTGCATCATGTATCTACCAGGCCATTCATCTTATATCTTTGTAGAAAAACAAAATTGAGTAATGTTCCATAGTAGGCTACATAGTTTTCTTCTCACAGGAGGTAGTGTTCTCCATCCAGTTGAATATTTGCAACATATACAAATTAATTTTGACTATATACTTTCAGTTAGAGTGCATCTTACGCACACATGTATCCAAACTTTGCTGATATGTGTGCAGCGTTGTTTGCTGTTGTCAACTAGGGTTACAATTGTATGTTTACACTCGTAGTTAAGGCCTATGTGTTTAGAATTGTTTCTGTATTAGAGGTATTGTTTGACAATCCTTTAAGCAAACTTTGGGTCACACTTTAGTTTAGGGTCTAATTCTCACTATTAACTAACTATTAACTATGACTTTTGGCTCAATAATTTGCCTCCTAATTACTGTTTATTAATAGTTAGTAAGGCAGTAGTTAACTTTAGGTATTGGGTAGGATTAAGGGATGTAGAATATGGTCATGCAGAATAAGGCAATAATATGTGCTTTATAAACAGTCAATATCCTAGGAATATGCATGCTAATAATCAACTAGTTAATAGTGAGAACTGGACCCTAAACTAAAGTGTTACCAAACTTTGAGATAACATTGAAGGGGACATTTAAGCAAAAATCAGAGGTGGGGACTCTAGTTATGAGTTCAGACTCCACGACTTTAAACGTTGGCAGATCGCTGTTCTGTTCAGACTGCATGACTGGCTGTCTGTAATCTGGAGTCCTTGAAGTCACACTACACGACACTACGTAAATTATCCGCAACAGGGTCAACTCTGTCACTCAACGACTCTATCCGGTCCCCAAATTTTGTCACGAAAACACAAGCGAGAACTGGAACGGGAAATGGTGCGAAACAGGAGTTGTTTATTTGAAAATGGATGTCGGGAAGACATTTGCGCTGCAAGCTGTTTGCGCGATGACCTGTTCTGAAAAATCCAGAAAAAAAGAAGAAAAAAAAGAAAGGAATATAGATGAAAGAATGGATCAGCAGGGGTTGTCTGTACTACAGAGAGAGTTGGAGGTGAGTATAACATGTTTATAATGAAAAAGTAGCTGCCTGCTCGTGTTGTGGTTTGGCATGTTGCTGCTGCTGTTTTTCTTCTGGTGACCTCAACCCATGCCTTGCTCTCTCATTGGCTGTAGCTCGTTGCAACACTTAACACCACGGGATGTCAAGTCGGCTGACAGCTGCAGATATTTAACATGCTAGGTATTTGTCTGAGAGAGCCTATTTGATGCATCGTTGAGTAGTTCACACACAAAGATTGGCAAACGCTGATCCCCAGATGATTTGCCCCCGATCACAGCCTGACCTGTCGCCGAGCTCGTTGACTTGCAAATCGGGCTTAAAATCCTTTAGTGTGAATTTAGCACAACATGACTTGACTCAAGTCTGACTCGAGTCACACATTTAAATACTTGTGACTTGCTTGACTAAATGAAGAAAATGTCTTCACTTGAAATTGACTTGAGACTCTACTTGGACTTTATAACAGCTGTAATTAAATTATTATTATTTTAACAAAATTAGTTAATCATAATTTAATTCATAAAATAATCCAATGATGGGAATCCCTAAAAGTTTCTATATATGAAGCGCCTAACAGAACCCTTTAAGGTTCTATATAGAACTTTTTCTTCTTAGAGTGAGATCGTTTCTTTTTTATATAAACTGTCAGGGTGTGTGAACCGAGGACTCAAATGCAGAGAGTTTGTGAACAGAGTTTATTACAACACTTTTGGAAAACAACCTCCAAAGTGAAGTGACACACGTGGAAAAAAATATTAAGGATAGCATGGGAGCTGCAGAGATGTCCGTACAACCACCAGTGGACACACAGACTGTGGAGACCACCCAAGATGCAGTCTCCAATGGGATGGGGAACGAGACGAGACAGAGAACCGAGAGAGAGAGCAACCTGCTGAGTTACTCCTCGTCTAAGCGTCCCGGGCACAGTAGCAAATAAAGGTAAGACACAAATCACACACGGAACAGTCAAACACATACGACGAATCACAAATTACCTACTGACAACAAGGGCAGACACAGTAGGGAATATAAGGGAAAAGCGAACAAGCACCCGCTCTGCTAAGTCAGCGCTGACTGCCCAGGCCACGAGCTCCAGAAAATGACAGGACACAGACAACAGGGGAAGCCGATAATGCACCCTGAACATTGACAATTAAACACTTCAACATTTATCATACAATCTCCAACGTAAATTATTCCAAACAAAGCAAAAATATCTCCGAGCAACACACAGTGGTGTTTCGTTACTGAACGAATCAGGGGTTTTGAACGGTTTAGTGATTCAATGACCCATTCATGTGAGAAGAGTATGTCCAAATTCACAGTACTTGTAAATACTGATACTTGTTTAGTGTAATGCTGTCAACCTACTTAGAGTGTATACGATTTCGTATGCAGCCACAATCACTTGTTACATTCCTAAAAGAGTCAGTCACTTACAAGAATCAGCTGATTAAATGGTTCTATGACTTGCAGCCACATACGGTCATTTAATTTTTCATGTTTCTAAATTCAAATTGTGATATTTAAATCTCTAATCTCATTGTAATCTTACCTGCAGAACGGTTGCTAACTGGAGAAATACGTGGAGGTATTCCTGGAGATAAACCACGAGGCACACTGGGATGATGAAACTTTGAAACGGCTCTTCTGTAGTGGGATGGATGACATCATCGGACAGATGCCACTGTTGAGAGAGGATCACCTTCCTGCACATTTTGTCTCTCTTATCTGACACACTCACGTCTCTCCTAATGAAGTGATGATCTGATTCAGGAACATTAAAAGGAAAACACACAACATGTGCAGAGCAGTGCGCCCCCAGTACTGGAGTTGAGAACCACTGCTTTAGATGACCTTGTCCCACCCGACGCTCTCCCCAACCTGTTGTTCCCGTCCTCTCTGCTGGCTCCGTCCATGTCCCTGGCTCTGCTTGCTCCTTTGGTTCCTTGCAGCTCCTCGGCTCTGCCTTCGCCGCTGACTCCGTACAGCTCTTTTGCTCCATCTCGGGCCCCTTCACCACCAGCATGGATCCCCTGGCTTCATCTCGGGCCTCAAGACCCATTGCTCTACCTCAGCCTTTCAGTCCTTGAGCTCTGCCTTGACCCTGCACTCCCTCAGCTCCACGGTGGTCCGCCATTACTCTGGCTCCACCGAGCTTCCTCATCCCTTCGGCTCCACCATGCTCTCTCATCATCCTGGATTCGCAGCAGACTTCCGGGCCTCCGGCTGCGCCTTTGTTTGCTTTTCTGTATATATACACTCCCTCCCTGTTTTGTTCAGTTCTTTGACGATCATCATCTGAATTGGTTGTGTTTGTGGTTCCCTGTTATTCTCTTGAGTATTCTACTGGTTGATTTAAAGACTGTTTATTGATATTGCCTGTGACTTGATCTTTAGAAGGACCAAGAGACCAAGGTTTCCTCCATATAACCAAGGCGCGGAGACACCGCCTTGTGATCTTGATCATACGAAGTAGGGTTCCACTCGGGGAGAACCCGTTGGTCCTGAGCCACCACTGCAAAGGTCTCATGTACAGCAGGCCAAAGGGTATCACATTGGACGCCACTGCCATGAGGCCTAACAGTCTCTGAAACTGTTTCACAGTGCGTGACTGGCCTAGCTTTAACTCTTTCATGGCCGTGAGGATAGCAGCTACATGAGCGACTCGCATCGTGACTGAATCCCAAACCACACCAAGGAAAGTGGTTCTCTGTAGTGGAGAAAGCACACTCTTCTTGGCATTGAGTCTCAACCCCAATTTCTGCATGTTTGCGAGGACGACATCTCGATGTCCGTCTCTAACCCCTCCGCGAGATCCATTTGCGAACCCCACAATACCAGCTTCCGTTCTGCCTCGGCAACAACGGGCCGGTACTGCGAGGAACGCGAGCCTGAACACCCTTTTCTCAAAGAGTGACAGGCGGGAACGGAGCGTGCAAAGCGATAGTAACTCATAGTCAGCGCCCTCGAGCGCTGACAGATCATGCTCCGTTCCAAACAAACAACACATAACGATTACGTTACAATCTAACGTTTGTTTGTTCGCCATAATATCTATGCTTGTGACTGATATAGTGACAGACAACAATAAATAAGACAGACAGTATGAACACAGAGCGCTTGCTGAGGCACAGAAGCTAACGCCGGTCAGACCAGATGTGCTTTTATCCTTTCCTGGTCGTGACGTCATCCGCCCGGGAAGCTCACTCTCACCATTGGACTAGTTGACACAAGTGCTTCAGACGCAATCACGCAGGGGCGTTTCCAAAGCGTCATCGACGCAACTCGAGTTCCCTCGAAAGGAAACTAATCACTGTTGGAACCCTCCCTATTACTGCTGATTTAAACCCCTGAGATTGTAGTTAGTGTGATAACTGGTCTCAGAGCACCATGCTCCTTGTGTGTTGCCTTGAAAACATGAGCAACATTTAATACACTTGAGCACCTGCATTAATATTCATGAGGACTGTGTAAGTTCTCACCCTGGCTGCAACACAGAGCTGATTTCCATCATAAAGAGACTACGTAATTCACTCCTACATCATGACAGCAACATAAAAAAATCACACACACAAAAAAAGCAAATCCTTAGAACTAGTTTATTCCCAGTATGTTTCTTTCTTTCTTTTTTCCTCCTGCTCTTTTTGCTGTCAATCTATATTTTTTCTTTCCCTTTTTGTCCCCTCTATCCTTCACTAAAATGATGAACACATTCATTTATGGAACTGAAATGTGTTTTTGATTTGGCAGTGACTTGAGTGTGCAATGACCTTATTTTTCGGTGTGTGTGTTCTTTAGTGTGGCTATCACTGCCTGGGAATGTCACATAGCATTTACACTCAGTTAAAAGACAAACAAACAAACAATAAATAAAAAAATATTTTCTATAGTTTATAGTTTTATTTATAGTTGTTTCTGCATTTTAAGGGATAGACGGTGATAGGAGGTGTTTTAACACACATAGTTCAGCTTTAATGAAACAGCACATGTCGTTTTATGCTGAAAACATATAGAGGGAAATAGGAGAAAAGAGGAGATACTCAATGCAAATTTTATTTGTTTTTCTCCTATAACAATAATCCCATAAATTGTATCACTTCAGTAATCCCCAGATTAACTGGAATTGGAAGGACTGTATTGTATGATTAGTTTAGTCTGTAGGGAAACTCTTTTCTTTTAAACCTAGATTACCATGAGTATTAACATAAACAAGGGAATCAAAATCAAACCCATCTAAATCTGTATTTTAGAATTTTGTGGGATGAAAAATTATATGTATTATGTTATTAAGTTGTTAAGTGTTATTAATTCACAGGCCTATACCAATTATAAATTACTTTCTATTATAAAATAATAAATACTTTATATATGAATATGTAATGGCCTAGATTTTGCTATATATAAAATCACATTCATATTAATGTCTTGGATACTATATCCCTATTGTGGATAGTTTCTTATATTTTTAGTAATTTCAATGTGTTGTATATGGTATTGCGCTCCACCTAATTGCTCAATTGTCGTTTATAGCATTTTCTATTATTTTGTCTTTACACATTTGTTAATGATAATGAAGGTTAATGTTGCCTTTAGTTTTTGCATGTTTTTGACTTTCTTTCATAAAAAGTCACAGGCAGATATTTTTAAGCAGTTTTGTCAACAGAAGTAACATTTTTTTTATCCTGTAATGGTCATATTTAAAACTGTTATCTGAGACAGAACAGGTGTATAACCTTTTGTAAATGTTCCATTGCAATGCCACCGCCAGTTTGTAGTGTTAACATAAAGTGAAATAAAACAGCATGGCCTTTGTTGCTTGAAGTACTCACTGTACCATAGCTGTTTTGGCTCTTGGACAGTTTACATTTGGCATGTCTGGTGCCAATGATCATTGGATGCCAGGAAGCATCTAAGTGCCAGTGTGTATGTGACGTAAATTGCCCTTGGACGTTTGTTTCTCCTCAGCTGGAGGCACAGACAGTAGACCAAAGAGAGAATGGTTCTTCATGTAAACCAAGATGGCAATTCTCCCCTCAGTTACAAGAGGATACCATGTGTATGAAACGAGCAGTCATCCAGGAAACAATAAAGGCAGCTAGATTTGACAGATTGCATGTGGATTATTTACAGAAAGCAATAACAAGAGAAAGAGGACGAAAAAGGATGTGCAGGGGTCTCTTTTTCTACCCCAGACCCCACCCTGCCATACATTTCTCTCACGCTCAGTCTCTCTCTTCCTCCTTCTCCCACACAGTCTCTATTCTGCTCTTCAGAATATTTCTTCTCTGAAGCCTTGTATATCTCTTAGGCTAGTCAGTCTTTATTTTACAATTAGGAATGTTTTGTGCTTTTCAATTCCATCATGTTTACTTTCATGCAATTCAGATCTATTAATTTAATGGATCTGCCTTGTTTATATATAATAAAATAGGCACATATCTTACCAAAGGGATAAGGATGAGTGCTAAAAACAGGTGCAGACATTTTCTCACTGTGGAAGCCATTTTGTCTGGAGCACTGATGCTATAATATCCGCAGATCAGCAGCAGCAGAGGGGGACAACTAAGTGCTGGATGGTAAACAGGTTCACTGGAAAACTGCTGCAGTTCTTCAAATCATCATCAGATCTGTAAAAAAAAGAAAAAGTTTTTAGATGCAAGTGAGAATTTAGTTTCTGCTTAATCCAGTTGAGGCGTTCATTCAAACTGTGACAAAATGTCAAACATCAAGAGCTCTGTAACCTTGCGAGGACCTCACTTTTCCTCATAGTGAAAGTGAGTTCAGACTCTGCTAACCAAGAAACGGGTGAAGAAATGCCATCAAGCTAAAAAGTAAGAGCAGCTTTGGGTGTTTCTTCGACAACATACATTTTAATGTCCCAGGGACTAACAGATTTCAACTTGAAGGAAATTAAAATTGTTTAAGAAACTTTTTTCCATGCCATTTAGTCTCATTTATTGCTATTTACTGTATATATAGGCTATTGTTTTACTATACCTGTATTTTCAGACACAAACTTTCAAAAGGTCATGATAATCAATCATAAAAGTAATACATAAAAAAAACCCGATAATGCTAACATCCAGTAAAACAATTCTACAAAATTTCACTATTTCAGTTAATATCCATTCACAAAAAAAGTAAAACTGTCCTTCAGTTACATCATTTACATCACAATCAACAGTTTTGCAAATAATATGACCAAATTACAAAGGAGACAAAAGTATTAGTGAAGTACCTGGTGTGCAAACGCTGCCTGAAAAGTCATTGCCTAACTGAGCATCAAAACAACAAGTCACCTGCCTAAGCTTTTGGACGCAGCCTTTGTACTATACCTTTTCGTACCATCTGCTTACGCCCCATTGATGGTTAGGTTTAGGGACGGGTTGGACCTTCGTGCTTATTTTTTATATGTTTAGATATGAATAGCATTATATGAATTCACACTAAATCACCACCTTGTGAAATAGTTATGTTTTCTCATGAGATTGGGTTGGTTTCAACAACTAGTCTATAGATATATTTCACCATACTTGCGATATATATATGCAGACTGTGGAGCGGAAAAGATAGGGCATGTGATTGTTGTTAAGTTGTTTATCCAAAAGGCCTGTATCATAAAGTACAGCCTTATGACGCAACTCAGACAACTACACGGTATTGCTTAGGGATAATTGCTTATTCAATTCTGTTCAGCACAGCACCAAACACATGAAGGTAGGAGGAGGAAGGAGCTGTAGGAGAGACATTGGTACACTCAGATGGGAGAATGAAAGAGATAAAGAGCATAAGTGTGATGGATGGATGGATACGTATAGCTGAATGGAGGGCTGGAGGGAGATAGGGAGGAACAGCTGCTCTGGAAACTGCTCTTGCTGTAATTAGTGGGTATAATGAAGCTGACTGGCTGAGAACTCCCCCAGCGATGCCTCAAGATCACACTGAGACATTCTAGACTAGGAGGTTTGCAAAAACAAACATGCAAGCATGCACAAAAAAAGTGACATTTACAGTACGTTCACGATAACAGAACACTTTATTATGCTCGCAAAAAAAGAAAAACTTGGGTTTTCTTACCCCATTCATATGAAGTTATAACAAAAATCCAACTTAAAGTCAAAACATCCGAAGAAATATAAGTGGGGTAAAAAAAATGTTTTACAATAAATGTCATCTAGGAATGTGTGTATGTGAAAGTGTATTTCTGTGCTTGTGTTTCCACTGCCTTTGAAGTGTGACTATGGGACTCAGTGGGTGATGGCAGTATTTGCACGTGTGTGAGTGTCAACATTCCAGAATGTGTGTTCAAGCTATCAGAGGCCACAGAAAGGCTGCATGTCTAAACCCTATCCCTTTGCACACTCCCGAGGGCACATTTACCACAGCAATTCTTCTCCACAAAAGGGCATGCCTTCACAATTAGATACAATTAATTTTACTGACAGGACAACATATGGGAGGTGGGCCATCCAGTTGGGCCATCCTATATATCTATCTCTATCTATCTATCTATCTATCTATCTATCTATCTATCTATCTATCTATCTATCTATCTATATTCAGTTGCATTGCAATTTTTTTTCTTTTTGACGAAATATTATTGTGTTGCTGTTTAGAGGTCAAACACTGCTACTGACAGCTTGGCTAGCTGAAGGACATACTTCAGGGACAGGTGGTACTTCATAGCCTAGAGTTTGTGACAGATTTAGAGCCATGCCTCAAGCATTTTTTTCCTGGCTTTCAGGTCTATGACATCCAATGCAATTTCATTCAGTTCTGGGTCAAAATGTAATTTATTTTCACATACCATTGCATAAGTAAAGACAATTGGTTGTGTATATGTGTTAATAATCTTGACATCTGATTTGAAATTATTTTGAATATGTTGAATGAATGCATCATATCATTCAATACAATACCATGAAAAAAAATGGGGTTTTATTTATTTATTTATTTATTTTTATTATTTATATGAAAGAGGTCTCTTATGCTAACAAAGGCTGGATTAATGTGATCAAAAATACTGTAAAACAGTAATATTGTGAATTTTATTTGAATGTTATTTGTTTTCAGCATCATTACTCCAGTCTTCAGTGTCACATGATCCTTTAAAAAAAAATCTAATATGCTGATTTGTTTCTCAAAAAACTTTTATTATTATTATCAATGTTACTATTATCAATATTATTAACAATGCTGTTTAATAATTATGTAGAAACCATGATACATTCATTTCAGAATTTTTGCGATGAATAGGCTATTTTTTCCCCTTTATTTGACATTTTAAATATTTTGTAACAATACAAAAGTATTTGAAGATCTCCGATGCAAAAGCCTCAAAAGCCACCTATGTCAAAAATGAGATAATAATATTGAGTGAATGCTCTCCGCACATAGTATACGCTCATCAAATTTCACTTCAAATTCACTAAATCCCAGCCTCAGCCCATTCAGAAATGCCAGTACTTGGGTAGAAACCTATAGGAGCCTGATTAAAAATGTTAATATTAAACAAAGACTTTAGACAGACTTTTAGAGGCTTTTGCATCTGAAGTCTTCATTTACTGTCACTTTTGGTCAAATGATGTGAAGATCTATCTATCTATCTATCTATCTCTCTCTCTATATATATATATATATATATATATACAGTATACACAATGAGTACAGAATTATTGTGCTAAATATCATGCCGGTGTAAACAAAAACAAGTCAATCCAGCTCTCCCCAAGCACCTGTGGCCAGTGGTCCAGCTATTACCACTCCAAATGACTTTGCAGAGTAATAAGGCATGTCAGTCTGACCAGCTGACAACCCTGGTTTTTAACTCCCCACAATAATATCTATCAAACGCACACACAGTGCGAAGACACCACAATGTTGCAATGTTCCAATATTGCTGTATAGCTGTATTAAATCTGCCCTGCTCCACTTGCTAGTGGTCATTGGAAGCTAAAATTATTTATCACCCTATACCCTATGAAAGAAAGAAAGAAAGAAAGAAAGAAAGAAAGAAAGAAAGAAAGAAAGAAAGAAAGAAAGAAAGAAAGAAAGAAAGAAAGAAAGAAAGAAAGAAAAAGAAAGAATATGAAAGAAAGGGGATATGCAATGGATATATTCATTTTCATCCATGGATTAAATCTGTCGCACATGCATAAGATGGATCTCTGGCCTCGTTTCTGCACATCATATTCCTCATAAATCTTATTAGAGTGTGTTAATGCCACATTAGGCTGACCAATCGGGAACTGACAGTAAAGTCTGCGCAGCTATATTTAGATTGTCAATTGTTGTTTGAAAAGGAACCATTAGCATATTTATTTCTTTAAAACATTGAGCGAATACATGGCACAAATCAGGAATTAAAGAATTTGGAGTTTCTTTTTCTTCCTTTATCCTTTTTTTCTCAGTACTAATCAGAAGGGATTGCATGGGGTGACTTCAATTACTGTGTCATGAGCCCCCAGGAACAGAGTGATTTGTTATTATCAAAGCAGCACTGTAGTGCAAGTGTGTATGTGCACAAATCATTTAAACAGAGTGTCAGCTGCTGACAACCGGCTAGCAAAATGTGAATGTAGAATTTATGCCCAATGTCAAAAAATGCTGAACACACAGAAAAAAGAGAGGTCAACAAATCTGGCCTGTCACAAAGGAGAGTGAATAAAAATGTGTGTGTTCAAGTACATTTATGCCCAGTTATGCTTGTGTGTGGCAGTATATGAGATTCACACAATACAATACACACTAATGGCAAATCAGAAGAGATTAATCAATACTGATGTCTGACGCTGGATTGTGCAGGGTTGATTCAGTGACCTGACCTCATCCACACATGCATTTTCATATTTACATATGTTTGTTCAGGATGTACATACTTTTTTGAGCTGCACATTTTTATGATGAACATGCACAAAGAAGCACTGATAAAAAAACTAATGCATGCAGTGTTTCATAAAGTAATAGGACCTTTTTTTTATTGAGGCTTACTTTATGCAGAACATATAGACCAATCTTTTATGTAGTATAAAAGTGATGCCATAATCGATTAAAATTTCAATTTGTCTTAAATGTCACATTAACTGCAGCTCAGAAAGGCCTGCTGTGCTAATATCCTGCCTCTTTTTGGGACGTGTTGAACTGAATTCTCACTATCAAACACATATAAACATGTTCATCTTCAATTCTTATATCATTAGAGGTGAGTGGTTGTAACTGAACACCATGGTGTAATTTTTAATGGTGCACTAGCAGACAGCACACAGAACTACACCATGTGTAAAATTGTAAAACAGTTCATTTGCACATACACATGCAACGTAATAACTTTGGGGGTTCTGCTTCAGAAGACATCCAAGACAAACAAGACTGGAAATGAATCCCTATGTAACGGTTACAGAGGCTCTGCAGTGGATATTTTATACTGTCCAACACAAACAGGGAGAGGAAAGAGGAAGGGAGGAGAGAGACTAATTCTATTCACATATTCACTCCAGTCAATTAAAGGTTTGTTTATGATGAGTTAATTAAAAAATCAGATCAACATGTAATACTAACATTATTTTAACTGCAAAGGACTTAGAAAAAAAAGGAAAAAAGTTGATTTAAAGGTGGTGTCCATGCATGTGTAAAAGGTGACTTCACACAATGGAAAATTAATTCTGACACAAAAAAGATAAAGTACACAATAATAATAAAATATAATTACAATAATGTGGAAGATGATTAAGGGAAAATATATTTTTACATATTTAGCCTAAATATATTATAAACAGGGAATAAGCAATGGAGTAAGAACAATAAACACAAGACACATCTTAATTAAATGTTGTTTTAAATATGTTTAGATATTTTACTGGAAAAATGCAAAAATACTGTTTGTTTTTTTTGCAGTGAGTAAGCAGTATAAATTAAAAATGCATAAATATAAAGGCACAATACATAAATTCAACACATTGAATGCAATATTTCAAGTGTTATCTACATTAGGCTATATGAGATGGACATAAAATAATATATGCCAACCTACATATATTACGCTATAAATTGGTACCGTTTTATGGCATAATCATCGCACTGTAGTTTGGGTGTGGCGTGGGTATAGTAAGGTTTCAACATTTATAATTCATGTAGAATGAATGTAATCAAAGTCTTGGAAGGCATTGACTATAAATGCAGCAATAACGTGAAAAAGAAATCATCACAATACGGTGGACGCATTCTGTGTTGAACTTTACATTAAAAGCATGTATTGGCTATAATGACGCTTTAAGTTGTGACATGCATAAGCTCTCTTGCTATTACTAACGTGTTTAAATAACAACATGTGCAGCAGCTCTATGACAGTGATGTGTCCTTAAACGGTGCTGTGTTGGAAGCTGATTTTTATTTTTATTGTTGTGCTTTCAACGCTTTTTTCCTTTATCATAAAGAATGCACATTGCACTAAAATGGTAATTAAATCTTCCTATTAACAATTCGTGCAAACCACAGAACTCCCAGCTGGCTACTTGAAACATACACTAAACCGCAGACCGTCTTCAAGCCACTCTAACCAGCCCCATTAAATAGGATTTCGACCACCAATTCCATATTAAAATACATAATATAAAAACTGACATATGAAATGGCTGTAGCATATTTCCTCCATTATTCTTCCATTCCAGAGCTAATTGATCCGTGTAGCCGACATTCTATTTCATTAGCCAGACAACCAGAAAAGGAATGGAATGCATTTCAATAGAAAATTTACTAAACGGACACTGCAGGAATGGGTAGCAGCAGGCTATACAATGAATCATGAATCTTACCGTTCCAGTAGGCAGGAGGTCTCGCAAAAGGACGTAACACGATGCAGAATGCAGAGTGTCTCGCGCTGTCAGTTACAGGCGTTCTAACTGCTGCGTCGCGCGTTGGTGCACAAACATTCCCAGACGCCCCGAAAAACTTCTGCGGACAAGTAGTATCGCTCTCTATCTCTCTCTCTCTCTCTCTCTCTCTCTCTCTCTCTCTCTCTCTCTCTCTCTCTCTCTCTCTCTCTCTCTCTCTCTCTCTAGCATAAACGAGTAGGGAACAGTTGCCTCTCTTACAGACGTCTAATTATGCAACGAATGAAAAAGAAAGCACATGCAATAGAAAAGCATAGAAAAGCCAAGGTTTGAAGTAAGGGATGTTGTCTGGATAACTCGCTGTATTGTGTTGTAACATTGCCGAGCGGTTATCCGCGCAGACTCACAATGATCCCTGATATGCGCTGCGCATTTTGATGAACCCCCTCAAACACCCCAACTCTCTCTCTCTCTCTCTCTCTCTCTCTCTCTCTCTCTCTCTCTCTCTCTCTCTCTCTCTCTCTCTCTCTCTCTCTCTCTCTCTCTCTCTCTCTCTCTCTCTCTCTCTCGTGTTTTAAGGCTGTCCACGTAGTCCACGTAGCGTCGTGAAAATCGAGGTCAAAGGAAGTCAAAGGTGTGAGTATAATATCTTGAGTATTATTTTTTTACACGCACATACAGCCTTAGCCAGGCTATAGTTCAACAAGTCAGAAGATGAGAACAGTTCGAAGACTTGAACGCTTTCTTTTGCATCAGGCGGTGGTTTTTTATGTTTTTTTCTGATTATTTATCAGTTTATTAAAAGTAAACCTCTTAAAATTTCAAATACATTACAAAAGGTTTGGTGTAGAGTATTTTAAAAATGTTATTATTTAGTATTTTGTTTAAAAATAACAATACCGCATTAACCTTTGTTCTGTGCACACTGAGGATTTCACTATTCAGCTCATGCTTGACCCATATCCGGAGACAGCTGCGCTGCAGTGGGCACAGCTCCTCCAGAAAACGCATCAGGACCCTGGACAGCGGCCGGCGAAACATTTCATCGATCATGTTACGTCACCCACAGCGTTGGAGGAATCAGTGGTTAATAACATTTCCAACATTTCAACAAAGTATGGTGCAAGTTACTGTCCAAGACTTCCGGATTCAGCGCAAACGAGATTCAGCTAAAACACACACACACACACACACACACACACACACACACACACACACACACACACACACACACACACACACACAGACACACACATAATGTAAAGACCAAACTTAAAAATAGTATAGGGTTCTTCCAAAAAAATATATATTAATGCAGATTTGAAATATAAATAGTCTAGCCTTTTCTATTAAAAAAGAAAATCAAGGTTACAAATAAACTTCTTTTCGGTTATTGTGGAGTTGGATGTAAGTTACAGTAATAAACAGTTTTTTCAATTGCTAAGCGTTTGCCAATTCTTAAAATACTTTTTCTAAACTCTTAACACAGCAACACACCTACATCACACAATTAGCCAGATAGTAAATTTTCTGCCCCAAACCACATTTTCTTAAATAAATACAAAAGGCATTCTAGATTTCTACATTCTAGAAACATGTTAATTGACTGCATTCTGTGTGAAAACAACATGAATTGTGTTAGTGGTATGGTCACAACAGACAGATGTTGTGCTAATTGTGTTTAGCGTTTTGAAAATGTGATTACAGATTGGACAAAAGGATGTTAGCAATTGAAAAAAAAACTGTAAATGCAATTTGAGAAAGATTTTCACAGTGCAACCAGCGTCTGGAAGTCTACATTTAAATAATCAGATTTACTTTAAGAAGGAAAGAGAAGGGAAAAACAGTCATAGGCAGTAGGACACAAAAATGACAGTAAAAAAAAAAAAAAAAAAAACTCAGCCGGAAAGACTGGTTATTTGCACTTGGATTTGACACCATTCTCTAGCCTATGTATCCATCTCTATTTTTCACGAGTGTCCCCTTCTGTCTTGTCCTCCTACACAGCCAACTAGTGATGAGTCAGTCTCCTGCAGTTGCTTTAGCACATATATGAGTCAAGTCATGGCACATGACAAAAAAGAAATGGACTCCTCTTTTAAAGCTCTTTTCTGTCTCTCAGAGTGACATATGGATGCCCGGCCTGCTCTGAGAGGGTGAATGTCTGAACAGAACCAACAAAGCAGCCGCCAATTCCTGTGAAGCTGTCTCTGCCTCTCAGAGTGACATAGCTGCTCAGTTTGGAGAGTGCAACATTTTCTGTCACCCTCTAACATCTTATATTGTTCATCTTAATTGATCAACATTAGCCATTAGCCAGCATGACTCATTAAGTGCCCTCATCTAAAATTGTTTTTGCTAAAATTAGCTTCATATTTTCAACCCATGACACAAGTCACTGTAAAACTAATCACCTGTAAAAAGTGATAACCTGCAATTGTTCATTCTTAAGGAGCAACTTTATCTGATCTAACCATTTTAGTTATTTTTTATTGGTGTAACCAATAAACCAATTGGTGTAACCAATAACCATTCTTTTAGCATTTATTTATGTATGTATGTGTAGCAGACTTCAGATGGTCACTTCCCGGACATCGCGGACACACCACCACACAACGAATGGGATGATGAATGCAATGGAATTTATTCCCTTTAACAGAATAGTGAGGCAAAATTAGTTAACTGACATCAGGGGCCTACTCTCACACTCCTCTCCTTCTCTGTTCGCATACACTATGCGTCTGCGCGCGAACGCTTAAAGGAGAAGCGATATAATTTCCTTCGGTGTCCCACTAATTAAGGCCCCACACACAACAATTGATAGGAACTCCCGATCGGAACTATTGAAAATAGTAAATTGAACACAAGTTTTGCTGAAGTTAACAGTTTAAACAACATTTCTCTTTGTACATAAAAATATATATAAAATTAAACTCAAGTGTCTAAATCGACCGGCTACATACTTCCCCCTTAACTTCACAAAACTTGAGCTTACACTTTTGTCAGTTGAATAAGGGAGCAAATAAGGCAATTCATTTGTCACTGACAACACCATTGTCATACAACATGTTACCTGACACTCACAGGAAAAAGAACAAAAGAAAGTTGATCAGGCTCTCAGATATTCTCTTGCTAAAGAGGTGCCTTATCCACCACTCAATATGACTTAAATTACTTTTTTTTTGTTGCCTCACATTCTTATGACTAGGCCCATATAACTTAAAGGAGAACTCCGGTGCAAAATGAACCTCGGGTGTAATAACACATTGGTACAGACTAAATCGTTCCCTGAGATTTGCTTTCATGATAATCGAATGTAAAGAGTTTTATCTCTAAAAACAGTTTAGCTTATAACGCTAGTATATTGGGCATCGAGCAAGCAAAAAGAGATCGCTAGTTAATACCCTTAACAAGGCTCAAATTAGCCCCACACTAACACGGCAGCATAATGAGTGTCCTTACATGCAAATCGAAGCATTGAGAACTTTGTAAGTGTATAGACAGTTTAATAAGAAGATACTTTACACAGACAGTACAGTTAGCGCATACAGACAGGACCCATCTTGGAAAACAGTCTCGATCAGTCAAACCACGAACACGGTGATACGTGAGCTGAACTGTGACTTGGAATCTCATATGGTCCGTTGTTTCCGGAAGAAAGCACTGAGCGCATAAGAGAAGCACTGAACGCAACAGAGAAAATAAAAAAATAAATATAATTTATCTTATCTTCAATATCTACACGTACTGTTCGCTCACCTTCGTGGTTCGATTGATCGAGACTGTTTTCCAAGATGGGTCCTGTCTGTATGCGCTAACTGTACTGTCTGTGTAAAGTATCTTCTTATTAAACTGTCTATACACTTACAAAGTTCTCAATGCTTCGGTTTGCATGTAAGGACACTCATTATGCTAACGTGTTAGTGTGGGGCTAATTTCAGCCTTGTTAATGGTATTAACTAGCGATCTCTTTTTGCTTACTCGATGCCCAATATACTAGCGTTATAAGCTAAACTGTTTTTAGAGATAGAACTCTTTATATTCGATTATCATGAAAACAAATCTCAGGGAACGATTTAGTCTGTACCAATGTGTTATTACACCCGAGGTTCATTTTGCGCCGGAGTTCTCCTTTAAAACCGCTTAACATAAAAGGGACTCTTTGACTGCGTTGTGACTTGCTCTCTGAGTCATATTCTGAATCAGTCTGTTCACAGGTCTAACTAACCTACCAACCCGTGTTCGTACCTGGGTCACTATTTCAGACACATTGGGGGGTGCACTGGAAATGGACAATGTGCTGTTGGATCTCAACTGCTCTTTAGCACCGGGAATTGTATCAGCCGTACATACTCTGTCCTTAGAGTCTTTTGGACTTGATGGGATGACTCGTGAGTTGTACTGAAGGCAATCAATTTCAGATCCTGCATCCAGGTCGTCTGATTTACTCTCAGGCTTTCCAGGATCCATTACACTCTCCTGTTCTCCTGCATCTAATTGCCCATCCACCGAATCATCTGTGTCAGGTAATGAAGCCACCCACTCAGCAGTACGCTCTGAGGTCTCTCCCCAGTGCAGAATTCGGTGTCAAAACTTCATCTGACTGCTCCTGGCTGGTTAGTGAGTCATCGTGGAAAGACTCATTTTCATTCTCTCCTTCCTCAAGAGGCAGAAAGTTGGCTTGCAACATAAGGTTTCGGTGTACTACCTTCTCCTGACCCGTACTGATTTTCTTAACACGATAAATGTGGCATCTGGGGTCTTTAGAAACCACCACATAAGGTTCAGATTCCCACTTATCAGCCAGTTTTCTCCGTCCTCTTTCACCCTTGTTGGCTAACAGCACTCTCTCTCCTTCCTCAACGTCGCATCCCTTTACTCTCCTATTGTAGAATTCAGCCTGTCGTTGCTGACTTGCACTAGCATTAGCCTGAGCAAGGTTAAGAGCCTCCTTGAGATCATCTCTCATTTTTGCAACGTAGCTGCCATAATCTGTGATGTCGTCATCTCTTCCAACACTATGGAACATGACATCTATTGGCAGACGAGGGATCCTTCCATACATCAGATAAAATGGTGCGCAACCCGTTGATTCATGAGCAGTGCAGTTATAGGTGAACGTCAGCGTTTGTAACATCTGAGGCCACTTTTGCT